TAACTACCTTGAGTTTGGGCTTGATTAATTTGGATTGATGAGGACTTTACACCTAAATAGAGTAGGGCTGTCATTAAGGATCTGATGATGAAGAAGTGTAATTGTTAAAGCAACTCCTTAACGGTATACAGTAACTACCTTGTGTTTGGGCTTGATTAATTTGTATTGATGAGGACTTTACACCTAGATAGAGTGGAGCTGTCATTAAGGGTCTGATGATGAAGAAGTGTAATTGTTAAGGGAACTCCTTAACGGTAAACAGTAACTACCTTGTGTTCGGGCTTGTATAATTTGTATTGATTAGAACTTTGCACCTATGTAGATTATAAGTAACAAAACGGGTATAATTATGTAGCTTTACACTAAAAATGATAAAATAATAAAATAAAAACTGCGTTTAAAAAACCGACTTCAAAAAACCAAAAACTAATAACAAACAAAAAGTCAATACTAAAAAGCAAAAAATAACTATTATTAGTACTGATAGGTTACCCACCCACTGATAGGTTAGAAGTCGGTGCCATAAGCTCATATTATAATGATATAACTTAATGCCCACAAAATTGTGAATTAGGTACCTTTTAAGGTTTTAATCACTATTTATGTTATGAGTCCCATGTAACAGGGGGTGAGCCTATTGCCATGTACCGGGCACAATGTTTATAAATAATTGATACTTAAATATATAGAAAACCGTGCTACGACTGAGCATTATTTTAGTACTCTTTCTCATTAATACTATACATATAATTGCTTACTTCTTTTTTTTTTAGTTTTGGTTCACTGTTCACACGACTCTGTTACAACTGTTAGACTGTTACAAGAGACATCTCTTGCACAATGTTTTTAGCGAGGAAATTAATTTATATTATTTTATTTAAAAAACTTTATGTAACATAACGTAATGTAAAGCGCACGTAATTTGCGTAGAATTATATAATTAATTTATTAAGTATGCGAAATACGGTAATCATTTATCATTTTAAACTGTCAAACACCAAGCGGTCACCGGTGACCGTAACCTATTGTTCTACAATTGTGTCCATAATGACGGTACTTGTGCAGTGAATATGTCTTAGTTTACTAAATAAAATTTTTTTATTTATATTTTGTCATAAACCATAATGAAGTTATCTCGTCGAGTACCATCATTATAGACACAATTATAGAACAATAGGTTGAGGTCACCGGTGACCGCTTGGTGTTTGACAGTTTAAGCACATAATGGCGTCTCCATTATATTATAAAAACAGAACAAACGCAACGAATAAAATCGAAAAGAACAATTCCACATTTAAATTTGAACTTCGTGCATCTCCGGCAATCTAAGGCGCTCGTGCTTTGGATTGGTGGAAACAATGCTGTTATAAGATGGCTGCTAATGGCAACAATAGGCAAGATAACCGTCTACCACCATTATTCCGCACGGATTCAGAATAATGTACTAGTTTTGAAAGCATTTAGATTGTTATTATTCAACCTGAGATTTATTATAAGTCTAGTTAGTTTTAGTATTGTGATATTAGCCGCTTCAGCTTTGATAAACCGTTAAATACGAATTATGGGTGTAACAAAATTGTAACGTTTGTAATCTATTAGGAGCCCTTAGTTTACTTGTTTCTGCTTGATTTATGTGACTGTTGTGTGTATCATTCATCCGTGAGTTACTCTTACCATGACTATGTTGTATCTGTGGTATTCTGTCTGCCAAGTTAGAAGCGGAAATGTTCGTAATAAATAATGTCTAAATATTGAAATAAATGATTGTATGTAACGCTTCCTAAAGGCGTAAGCAGTTTAATAGGTGATAAAATTTTGCTAATAAATAAATAATTACATTTATCGTCGTACCAGCTGCACATACTTGTAGTCTCCGTACAGTACGCGCCAATAAAATCATTTTATCGACTTGACCACCCCGGATAAATGTTACAAATTACAAATTTACAATTAACCATCGCGTAAATATATAACACATCCTACATTAAGACAAAATAAGGATCATTTTTGCAATTTCAATCGACTTTGCAGCTGAATAGTTAAGTTGGTCGATAATTCATATTTAGTACATGGTTAATAGGTATCAGGGGTATAAATTGTATAGGACAACCACAGTCTGTCAGTCTGTCTGTCATAACTCTTAGATAGACCCACAGGGATACTTGTACCTATTAAAATTGGTTCACATTCCCATAATTGTAGGTACAAGTGTCACCAGCAATTACTGATAAAACTAGTTTATTTATTCAGGTTTTCTCTCAAAGAACATGATGTTAGTGATCATAGACTGAATTATTTATTGTTATTAGAAAGCCTTTATATAGATTTTCTTTTAAATGGTTTTTGTAGCAACTTATATATAGGTAGTAAGGACAAATCTTATAGGGATTTATTTAGGTATCAGTAAATTTACACATAACCTATCGGTAGATTTTAGATGTCTACACTTATAAGTAACATGGTCAGTCAAAGTATAGTCATAACGCACTGGTGCACCCTTTTGTATATTTTTTTCACAAAAATTATGAAGGTATAAAACACATGGTTTCCAAACAATAACATAATATCTACCTAAACAAGTATGTCAACATATAAAACACAAGTGGAACACGAAACAGAATTTGTGGGCCAATTCAATTCTCAACCACACCACAGAGGTAGAAACCAATAAGTTTTGAAATATCACCAAACGAGTAAACCATAGAGTTCCGCGCCAATATATCACGGAGTCCATAGACAATGGATACAATCGTCTAATTATATTGTGGCCGGCGCCGCTGTATCGGGCATAGATAAAGTTGATGCATTATTTTGTTAGACAATTAGTGCGTCTGTTACGGACGCAATTTGTTCAGCAAATCGCTCGCTGGTTTTATTGGTAAACGAATAGTACATTGCTCGTTACAGAATAAATATTTTTAGTGGGTGTAAAAGTATAGTTCTGGTTTCCCCGCCCCTGACAATGACAGAGATAATTGGTTATATGGTACTCACTTTACGCTGATTGCGATAATAGTCTGAGTAATAGGTGATATTTATAAGTTTAGTACAATAACGTGGTACGAATTCAGAAGCATATAAATACCGAATTTAGGAAACGCAACACGACATCATTCAGGCGCATTTGAATATGGAATTTGGGAAACTCAACGTCACCTCATGTTCAAATGTCACGTAGTCAAGTAGTTAAGATGAAATGATGAATGTGAGATCACAAGACAGTATTAGGACTTATGCAGTCGTGTGATGAAAGTGATTATTTTTATTAGTAAAATCTATTTTTATCAGACAGAAAATAATGCAATAAATAAAATATCTTCATTGGACAGAAATGTACGGAAAAATGTATTGAAGAGAAACAATCGAAAAGTGCATGACGCCATACAATATTACAGGCGATGGACAGGAACGATAGCACGCGTGCCGCACTCTCCGTACTTGGTGCTAACAGAGCTGCTACTCGTAGACTTACGAATTCCTACAAACGGCAGCAGCAATAAGATCCCTCAAGACTTTCACCTTCATTATTTTGCTATAGGTACCATTAATTTTTAATTGGTAATTTGTTTTGGCCACTACCCCTAACTTATTTTTTTATGGCATAAGCCGGTAAACTAACTATCACCTGATGGTAAGCAATCGGCGTCGCCCATGGACACCTGGAACACCAGTAGCGTTACAAGTGCGTTACCAGCCTTTTGGGGATTAGGAGTTTGAGGATCGTTGGGGATTCAGGAATTTGAGAGATTGGGGAAGGGGAGGGAGGTAACTAGATGAGTTTGGCCTTATGGTAAGCGATGATGCGGCCTACGATGGAGCAGCCTTATAGGTGGACACCTATAAGCTATTAATCGAGATTTAGAAACACCCAGACTACTCACACTAACACAGGTGCACCCTCTTTATTATCATGACCCAATAGGATAGCAATCCGACACAATGGGGGAAAAGTCATGCTTAAGATGAAATCGACTTTACCAGCGCTCTCTGAAGCACAAGAAAAATATTAGTAAGGCCAAAAATTCCATTAGGATAGAGAGAACACAAAGGTGATTAGAAAAATATGAAAATTTCCAAGAATTGTGCACATTATAGGAAAAGGAAGTTACTGTTACCTGTTTGGATGAAGCACAAAAGCTCTCAATAATAAATTCATATTCCCTAAATATAAAAACAAACACAAGTTCTATTTAATTAACATATCCTTGCTTTAATAATTGAAAATCTTTCTACGATAGTCTTAGTTCCACAAATTAGTTCATGCCACCTTAAATGGAGTCTAGATTACAGTGAAGCGTGAAATGCCCGGTATAATTCGGTACTATCAGCTGTCAGGCGGGGGGGTCAATTAACTGCTAGCCAGCGCACGATTGTGTAAGCTATTGTTAATTGTTTCTGGTCTTACCTCCTTTGTACTCCTGTTTGTTTGTGGTACTCGTGTTTTGGCGGGAATATCTATGGATTTTTGTGACAGATTAATGTGTGTAATCATGTTTTTTTTTTTTAATGCACAGTTCAGCCTGCGATTTTCACTTTAACTCTTATGATGACTATGGAGTCAGAGTCCTGTATAATAAAAGATCAACCTGTTGCCAAATATTTGAGTAAAGTGGCTGTACCTACCTATAGGCAAAAAATATTAAATCATCGTCACCCGTCATCGGCTCCTAAAGATATTAACGTGAATAAAAAAAAGAATTTTGAATCTTGAAAAAAGAATTCGTCGACGTCTCCACTGGTCAATTATTTATGGTTAAGGAAACAAAAGGTGCGCCAATTGGAACTTTGAATTTTGTCGCTATTACGTTTTTATTATTTTACATTTGTACAGATTGCGTTTAACTAAACTATTTCCAATTAAATTTCTAATCTTCAGCAGCCAATTAGCAGATTGTTAGTGTAAATTGGTCTCTGTAATACTAGGTGATTGGCTGTTGATTGTTGTGGACTGTAGCCAGTTCAGTACCCCACAAAGATGAGAGGACTCGTGTTGGCCACCGTTTTATGTTTGGCCAACAATGTTGGCGTGTTGGACGGATATGTCGTAGGGGCTGGTTGTGAGTTTTAAAATATTTTTTTTATGGCATCACCCGGTAAATGAGCTGACGGATCACCTGATGGTAAGCAATCGGCGTCGCCCATGGACAACTGGAACACCAGAGGCGTTACAAGTGCGTTACCGGCCTTTTGGGGATTAGGAGTTTGAGGATCGTTGGGAATTCAGGGATTAGGGAGATTGGGGATGGGGAGGTAATTGGGCCTCCGGTAACTTAACTCACACGACGAAATACAACGCAAGCGTTGCTTCACGTATTATATTCACGCATTTAAAGAGAAAGTTAGTACTTTGATACTTGATAACTACTATCACGGATTGGAGTTAAAAATTTGTTTACCCAAAAAAGCCAACGGCACTAACAGTAACGATCTTCTGAAACATCGTAGAATCATCTCTTAATTATTTCCCAAATTCCCAGTGAACGTGCGTTTCGGTCAAATGCTGTACACGGACAGTAAGTACCAAGTTCTTCGTGAGGAGATGGTGAAAGCCAACACCAGAAACCTGGTGTACCACTGCAGAGCTGACAAGAGCGATTGCGATGCCGCACTAGCAAAAATGAGGTACAAAGCTAGCAAACATTTCTACGCACTATCGAAGGCTGTTGTCGACTACGTGAAGAACAAACGTCAGGCCAGACCCACCGGATATGTCGGTAAGTGTTTTATGCCCTAAACTTTTCAATGATTTAACCGAAGTCAGAAGTTTCAAACACTGTTGTAAGTGTTTTTGTCCTGAACTTCAATTCAACCAAAATCAAAAGTTTCAAACACTGTTGTGACTGGACTTTCCCTAATCTGTACTTTATTGTAGGACGGTGATGCAGTTTTAAAAATTGACCAGTCACACCATTTTACTTAGCATCCAATACCTTGACGCCTGTCTCCCATGGGAGTAGGCAGACTATGGAACGCCGATTGCTACGATTCCTACATATCTCTTTCGCTTCATCAACAGTCATCAATCTTTTCATGCATGCTTGTATTAAAGAAGGGCCTCCACACTAAAGAAGGGCCAAATTAAAAGTACCCTTAACCGACTAGCATGCATGAAAAGATTGATGACTACCTAAAGTCCGTAGTACTAAAAAGAAAAACAAACACTCTAAATTGATTTATCTACATTTTTGGCCCAAAAACTGAGGTTGCTATATCATATAGCCGGGTGACAACGATCAGATACACCATAGGAATGTGATGGGAGCTAGTCATATAGTAACTCCTAGTTTCTGCCTCATCATCATAAAGGATGGGAGGAGGAGGATCAGAGGATCTCGACTGCTCAATAACAACCTCCCATTTCTTCTTCTCTCCCTCCAAACCGGATCCCTTGACGATCACAATTAAGTTAACGTAAAATCAAAGAATGCGCCTACTGCTAACAAGTTTCCACCTACCATGAGAGTCATGCCACAATAGTAGGTATAAGTTTTATGCATATGTTCAACCTAGTCCCATTTACCTCAAGGAACTGCAACGTTCTGTCAAGACAATATTTGCGTACCCGATACCGACCCACCCATCGTGTTCGGAGGCTGCTTCACCCTGGTCTCCTGTGGAGGCAACCAGACGTGGCACTTGGACCCCATCGTGTACAAAAAGAAAAAGGGACGATTTATGTAGTATACATACAATAAATTATGTTATTGTACTGTTTTCATTTACATCTCCTATTAGCGTTAACACCCACATTTTGCTGGTTACATATTGAAGTTTATCTGTTAGTCCTAGTTTTGGTTCGTAACTAAAAATATCGTCTTAAAAATCCAACACAGTTCGCTTAACTTGAGAAGTGAAAACTTAGCGTTTCTAGTTCCATCCAAAACTAAGAGAAAAGTGCAATACTATTTTCCATTGAAAAATCAATATTTGCAATATTAAAATATTGTTCAATGGCCTCGAGTGCATTAAAGCAAATAAATACTGCACCGAAGGTTTTGCAATTTCGATCGTAACATGAAATGACGATATAATCATCGTCCCAACTGAACGAGAGCAATTAGTCTAGGTGAGACTAGTTGCTATGAAGGATGCAATTTACAGATATTATTACTAGAAACTGCTGTCTACTCCCTCAAATATATGTCCGAACGATATCACAATACTATCCTATCAATCCTCTATCAATGAGTAAGCTCAACATACTGTACATTTAACTAATGAAATAACAGACAATAATCAAAACGCACAAACGAAATGAAACGACTAATATAACCAAACCACACTTCACATATGCAACCAAAAAGTTCCACTGATATAACACCCGACCATTTGGATGCCAAGCTAAAGAAAAAAAAAGAAAAAATAAAAAGATTCGTTCCACCTGTTGTATTGTGTAGTTACAATGCGAGTTTCATTCATTGTTTTACTATAACCAAGGAGGCTTTAAAAGACCTTCACAGATGTTCAATAGAATCGTTAAAATGCTATAGTGGTTCACACAACGCGATGGAGTTTTTATATCTACTTACAGTTTTTTTGCACATTTACAACGTCGCGGCTGAAATCAGGACAAATGTACTAGTAAACAAGTAAGTAGAATCTTTTTTAATTCGTGTTAAATTACTTCGCATTTACGTTAAATGCAACGTTAAATGTACATTTTTGCAAACATTTGAAATATTTGCAAACTTCCAAAACTAGAAGATTACTTCACCATCTGAAAACTATTGTCCGTTGTGTTATTATAGACTACGCAATAGGAAAAATATAACCGATCGTTTAACAGATTTCTTCAATACATGATGATGACAAGGTATGCAAATTAAAAATCTAATTAGTCCGTAAGTTAGGTAATAAAAAAATATTTGACACGTATTTTTTTATTTTGTCGTATAATAAAACAATACTTAGATAAAACGAATTAAAGTTTAGGAGTGGGGACTAAAACGTCATTTCTACATATAAAATGTACATAGAAGTGACGTCACACGACATTTCAAATCAATATATCGTCGAAAGTATTAGTTAAAGTTAAAAATAAAAAATACGTGTCTAATGATTTAAAATAATCTACCGAAGGACATTAAAATAAAAATTAGGCATCGACCCTATTCTTTTTCCTTTAATCACATTTGCCGCGAATAATTCTATTTGTCACCTTAAATACATCACTTTTCAGACTAACAAAAGTGAGGCCTGTCGGTGCCCACGTCGGGAAAAGCTTCGTCCCACTCACAGAGATTCCCCCGCCCTATGCACCCCATTTAGACGAATATTCAGAGAAGTCTGGCAGAAGACATTTAGATGATAACTGTAATAAGAAGCCAGAAGGCAAGGATGTGAACGAGGGCCCCAAAGTCGACATTTTCCCAGAATATTATGACGACAAAGTCGCCAAGACTGTCGCCACCGTCATATTTCCAGATCACATTGACCGTAAGTACAATTTCCCTTCACTCACATTGACCTGTACAGTGTCGTAACGCGAGGCATCTATTGTTTTTTTTGTATTTTATTTTAAAAGGCTTTGTGCACACACTTATAGCTACAAGGTGGGCTTAATGCCATGGGCATTCTCCTCCAGCCAGACCTTTGGGCGATGCAGAGACAGAAACAATGGTTGATGCGTTTGATTATTGTGTGTCATATATCGACAGATAAGAGGTTAATAGTCCAAGATAGTCCACTACTCTGCGTAAGACGGTTTCGCCATATTCTCCCCTATTGACAATCCATTTTAAAAGCACCATTTAAAAGGTTCAGGGTAATATAGAATGCTGCTGTCCGGTCTTAGCTTTTAGTAATAACATAACATAACATCACGCCTTTTATCCCTGAAGGGGTAGGCAGAGGTGCACATTATGGCACTTAATGCCACCGTACAATGTAACACCCACTTTTCACTATTTATGTTATGAGTCCCATGCAATAGGGGGTGAGCCTATTGCCATATACCGGGCACATTTCCAGACTCCGTGTTACTACTGAGGTTTTTACAAACCCAGTAATACTTTGCCCGACCCGGGAATTGAACCCGAGACCCCTTGCCCGGCAGTCGCACTTGCGACAACTCGGCCAATGAGGCAGCTTTTAGTAATATATTGTATTTAACTCGTTTTTTTTTATTGAGGGGGGAAAATCGTCCAATGACTTCTCCCGCCCGGGTGAGGCGAGAGGGAGTGTCAGACTCTTACTGACTAAAAACCACCCCGTTCCTACTCCTGCACTTCGAGCCGGAGCCCCGGCAACCCGTTAAGCCTTCCGCGGCTCCGTATCGGCATTAGCCCTGTTGGGCCCCATCCGTGGTGGTCTGATGGCTCTTTGAGGCGCGCGCGGAACGCGACGCGCCGTACGCTCGGGCCTGGTTCTGGTCGGGCGGCGATTCACCCGTGCTCGCCGTCCGCAGGCCCATGCTTACGGTGGCCGGAGATCGTCTCGCGATCCCCGACGCCCGGAATGTCTCTCGCGACGGCCGGGGCGTGAGGAGGTTCGTTCCCTCACGCGCTCCGCCTCCTCCTTAGCTAGCATAACTGCTTCGCAAAAGGAGAAGACGGCATCCCAGTCCCCCTCGCTCCGTACCATGGTCTGAACCAGAGCCGGACGCGAGAGGTCGCCGTCGCCGATCACATCCCTGAGGACACGACGGTGCTCAGCCCACGCAGGACACACCGCCACCGTATGCTCCACCGTGTCCTCCGGGCGATCCTCGCAGTGATGACACCCGGGCGTTTCCTCCCGCCCAATCCGAAACAGGAACCTACCGAAACTTCCGTGTCCGGTAAGCAGCTGCGTCAGGCGGTAGGTGAGGACGCCGTAGCGTCTCTCAAGCCACTCCTCAAAGAGGGGACTTACCGCTGCAATGACAGCGAGCCCAGCCCTCGGCTGCGACAGCCGTTGCTGCCATTCCGCCATGAGATCACGCCGGAGCTCATCCCGCCACGCACTAATCTGGCGCGGCAGCGGATTTTCGCCCCGGCGATGTGCCTCCGCGCGCAAACAAAACACACGCGCCAGCACCTTCGCCTCAAGATCCCACGGCGCTGATCCGGCAAGGAGGTTCGCCGCCTCCCCGGAGATCGTGCGATATCCGCGAATCAATCGGATCGCCATGATCTTCTGAGATGTGAGCAGCGCCCTAGCGGATCGCCGCATCAAATTCGGCGCCCACACAGGGGCACCGTAGAGGGCCATGGACCGCACGACCCCCGCATACAACCTACGGCAGGAGGCGTTTGGCCCCCCGAGGTTCGGTAGAAGGAGCTTAAGCGTCGCCCCCGTTCGTTCTTACTTAGGAGCCAAACGTCGAAAGTGCTCCACGAAGTTCCACCGACTGTCGAGGACGAGTCCTAGGTACTTCATCGTCGTCTCGACGATTGTATTTAACTCTGCCGGTACTTAACGGTACAGCTAAACTGTACAGTTTTCATCCGGTTACACTAATTTCATAGACTACGTTTTGTACCGATATCACTTTCCTGGCAGACAATCTTTTAATTCATAATCGTTTATGAATTCGGATATCGGTATCCGAATAAGAGAACAATTCACACCCTATTCCTAAGCTAAACCTATTTTTATTGTAAAGCAAGCCCGCCACAACCCCCAAAAACCGCTCCAACTGGGGTTGCCAACCATACTTTATAAATAATAACGTATTCAACTTTATTTTTGGTAATCATACTTTATACTTTGACATACAAATAAAGTATGTTAAAATAATTTTATTTTCAACATTTATTGCAATGCGTGGAATAACACGGAGTACCGTGTAAAATATTTTATTATATAAAGTTTACCTACTTATAATTTAACGGTACTTATAAACGACTTATAATTGCTGAACAAAATGTTAGTGACCAGTTAGTCAATAATTAACACAGATGTCACTTGTGTTAGAAAATCGACGAAATTGTGTGAAAATTGACCGATATTTTTGTATAGGTAATTAGAGAAACTATGTTACTCTAAACTAAAAAATAATGCTTAAAATGACGAGTATTCCAAAATTGAAAAATGAATTGAAGCATACTTTTTTCTTGTAAATATTTTATTTTTCCTATTCAAATAAAATTTATACGCTTTTTTCGGTAAAAGGTGGCAACCCTAACTGCAAATCCTGTACCACGATCTATCTACAGTAGAAACAATCATGAAAACACCGGAACACTGAAATCTGGCGCATCCCAAGCAACAGTTAGCAATTACAATTATGTACAACATGAATTTATTTCACAGACAAGCACTTTGAAGTGACGACCCAAGTGCCATACTTGACTGTGGGACCCATCGAAGCGATAGGCTACCACCCTAGTACGATGAAAAGTGAACATCCCAGCGAGTGTGAGAAAATATACCAGGATCATCTTGATGAGCAATATTCTGAAGAATCCAAGGACTATTCCGAGGAATCTCTGGAAATGGCCCGACTTCCACTCTTCCCCACCAATGATGGGTCAGGAGAAGACAAAGTAGATAAATTGTACAGCGACCTAGATATTTAGTATTTACTTCATAATAATTATGTATTTAATTGTATATTTTTATACTTGCCATGATTAAATTGTTTTTACAAGAATTTCTGTATTACGTTTGATGTGTTTTATTTTATGTTTAATCGAATTTATATTTTTGTGTTATTCGTGATTAGAGTTCATTGCTTGGAGATTTAGTGAATTTGGTAGGTAAGTATGTACTTCACAATCATAACTAAGTATTAGTCATATTCAATATTAATTAACCGCTTGAATGCACCGATACGAGACGCAATAGAAAATACATTACGTCTCGCGTGGTTAGACACACGGCGGGTTAAATTGTGAAAAATCACAGATTCCTATAATTGTAGTACGATGTTGTGAATTGTGACGTTATGGTTTTTACGTCAATTAACATATGTACTTATTTATTGAAAATCAACTAGAAAAATTCGAAAATTAACATAACATAACATAACAACACGCCTTTTATCCCCGAAGGGGTAGGCAGAGGTGCACATTACGGCACTTAATACCACTGTACAGTGTAACACCCACTTTTCACTATTTACGTTATGTGTCCCATGTAATAGGGGGTGAGCCTATTGCCATATACCAGGCACGATTCAGACTCCGTGCTACTACTGAGAATTTATAAAAATCTCAGTAATACTTTGCCCGACCCGGGAATCGAACCCGAGACCCCTTGCCAGCGGCAGTCGCACTTGCGACCACTCGGACAATGAGGCAGTCGAAAATTAAGTATCATGGAAATGTGATTATTTTTATTATTGTATTGAAAAGTCGAAATAATTGTTTTTGACTTAGGGATGATTTTTCAATCATCGGATTAGGTACTTACTTTATAACTTCCGAACTGTAGAATAAAATTGATATTTGCCAGTTTTTAGTGTGGAAAAATTGTCAAATATTCAACATTCGTTTGATAAAACTAATCTGGCGTTGGAACAAATAGCCCTTAAAAGGGTACCCAATTAGATTATACTAGCAACATGGACTGAAAATCATTAAACAATTCTAACAAAAAGGAATTTTTTTATAGCAAAAGCCGGTAAACGAGCAAACGGATCACCTGATTGTAAGCAATCGTCGCCGCCCATGGACACCCGAAACACCAAGGCGTTACAAGTGCGTTTTGGGAATCGGGAATTAGAGGATTGTGGAGGATTCGAGGATTCGGGAGACGGGGACTAGGGAGGGGGGTAATTGATAATAGATAGATATATATAGGTCACAGGGAGCTGTTGGATGCAGATATGATGATGTTAACCCAAAAAGCGCCTTTCAAATTACACATATACCTAGTACATTTGCCAGCCGTGCTGAAAAGTATTTCATGCAAAGGAATTAAAACATCTTTTTGTTTGACTTAAGTAAGTATTTATTAATAACATTGTTTTCTTAGATAGATGCCTAATTATTAGTAGTTTTGTTGTTATACGGGGCCCGCTTGTAGGTTGTATTTGTTTGATACTTTCACATCTTTGTCCTTGTCATCCAAAACTTCTTCCGTGTCGTCGTCATCGAAGTCTTCCATGTCCAGCGGATTCCTTGAAAAAATATCCATGAACATGAGCCTTACAACTCTTAATAAATAATATATTCTCATAATCGTAAGCCAAATAGTGATAAAAACACTTACTTGTTCCAGTCGATTTTGTGTCGTTTTCTGAAACAAATTGAATTGGATTTATAAAGTTTTTGACTGACTCAAGTAAACATACAAATAATGTAACTAGCGAGCAAAAGGTCTCTTTTCACCAATTATGTTATGAGTTACCCTGATTATGTGTCCTGTAATAGAGGGTGAACCTGTTCCAAATATATTCTACGGGTATAATTCTAGACTTAGAGAGGAAATACACAATAGTACCTTCTTCAACCTGAGACCTCTTATTCAGCAATTATACTTCGACTAAATCGTCGTACTAAATAGTTGACTGTACTCGACTCTCGATAAATTGACTATTCATATAAAAAGAACTAGTAGTTCTGGAAATTATTGCAAAATATAATAATTATAAGTATTCTTTTATATTTACATTAAATATTATTCGTTATTTTATCTTACCTATTAGTAGCTATGTAATCTTGGTCCATATATTCTTCTGATACTTCGACAGAGAGAGGCTGTCCTCTATGGTCCTGCAAAATTCCGAAGTACCGAGGTGCTCGCGTCACCGTGTATAGTAGAGCTTGAATACAAATACATCAAATAAATATAGAACCATTTTATATCGGTAAAATACATCTAACTTCGATTCCTAAGATTTTCTCAATATAGAATAAATTATACAAATTCACATATACACACCGTGACCCCACACAATAATTTATGGATCACACAAATATTCTTAAAAAAAATAAAGTTCTATTCATTTCCGATTTTTTTTTTCAACTAAGTCCAAGTCAACACTGCAGAGCCGTATCGTCCCTAAGTGAAACTAGGCCTAGGCTAGTACCTGGGGCGCCAGGATACAGAGGGGCGCCACGACCCCTCCAAACGCGCCTGTCCATAGCGTAGCGGTGGCGCTAAAAAATTAGGGGCGCCGATGAGGTGCTTGCTAGCGAGCATCTTAATGTTGCAACACTAAGAATTCTGAGTAACCAAATTTAGCTGAATATCAGTACTTATACACAGTTCTACCGACACTAATGGTCACGACACTCATAGCATCGTTCGGCACTCTGATTGGCCGGCGCCAATGAACCAACCAATCAGAGCGCCGAATGCATACTCGTTACGATTACTTTAAACGTAAAACAAACTTGTACTAAGGCCTCTGGTCTTCGTCAAGTGACCGTAAGTAAAGTAGTCCTGTAGATGGGTCTTACGACCCCCGTGGGATGAGTAGAGGTGGTAACCATCTGCCGTGACTACATAATATTTGGCACAAGTTTGCCTATAACCAAATTATTCAACTTACAGTCATCAACAGCTTGAAGCCCTTTTAATGCCACGCATAAGACTATTAAAACTACTTGTAACTTTAACTTTGTTTCACACATTATTCTGATTTTTAAAGGTAATTAATTGTCTGTCGTTAAACTCAATGCAAAAATGAAATAATTGGTCACAGAATAAAACTCTTAGCTCACTATAGTATTATAGTAGTCATAATTATTAAAAAAAACGCTGCAAACTGGTTTGTCGGTTAGTAAAATGTAACGTACAATTTTGGATTCAATTTGGGGTCTTGTTTGCCTTTACGGTAAAGAGTTTGGAAAACAAACAAGTGTTTAATAAATCAGCATTACTGTTTTGGCAGTTTTGTCATAGACATTACGAACAATGGATTACGTAACCAGGTTTCTGCACGTGACCATAGTTTGTTGTTCGTCTTTTTCCTTTTTTTTTGTAGGAAACCAAATTTTAGTTAAAGTTTTTGGAACCGTCATTATACGTGCGATGTGCATTGTTACATATTTCTAGCATACACAGAACAAAGTGGGTGTAGTCCTCCTTTGGTTTATGCCATCTTTCTCAATTCTCTTTTTAACAGAAAAATATCAGCTTTTCTAGAATTTAAAAAGCATTTATGTTAACTTGGATAATTGTGGGTCAAATATATCCTCACGAAATGTAAGCAAGCCTGGAGATGCAGGATTATCCACGTAACAAGAATAGCATTTGGTAAAAGAAGGCCTGCGAATCTAAAATATCTAAATATTTTAGGTGATACTTATAGATCTTAGGGACAAACTATTTAAGGCCTTCCCCACGTCACTGTTTAGTTTAATAATTTATTTACTTCAACCCGTCGTGTGTCTAAACGTGGATCCACGCGAGGCACAATGTATTTTCCATTGTGTCTCATATACAGGCTTTCAAGCGGTTAATCCGTACCTAAAGCGATACTTTTTTTTTGGGACAAGCCCGCCACACTCTCCCAAAACCGCTGCAACTCCTGTAAGCCAGGATCTACAGTAGATACAATCATGAAAACACCGGAACACTGAAGTCCGGCGCGTCCCAGAGACGTCAGTAACTGTCTTGGTTCCCGCAACGAAGTGAATCAGAAGATATTATAAGAGGAGAAGAAGAAAAAACTATGGTTTCCTCTTCCGTCGGTGAATTACTGCAGGAGACAGAATGAATTAAGCCTAAAGGCACAAAGAAGAGACTGTAAGTACAACTGGGTGAAGCCCAGTTGCCAAGCACCACGGAAATTTGACTAAAAAAGAGACACTTGTGTAAAATCAAAGATTTACTTCGGGCCCCGTGATTCAATAATCTGCTACGGCCATCGCCGTTCGCCCACCTGCAGCCATATCTAGCTGCCTGCAGTGTCCATCTTATTCAGGTCAGCATGTCCTTGTCCTGCGCGGGAGTAGCTAATAGGTACTTACATATACAAACGAAAGAGGGTGACGAAGGTCATTCCTAAACTTTTAACCGCTTGAATTCCCGTATATGAGTCACAATAGAATTGTTTTGTCATTGTGTCTAGCATGGATCCACGCTTAGACACACGAAAGGTTTATTCAGAGGCCTCTAAGTTTCTGAGTGAAAATTTACTTATCCCGGGAATCGAACCCAGCACAATGTTAGACAACACTTTACCACTGAGGCAGTGTAAAAGAATACAGTATCACTAGCTTATGCCAGCGGCTTCGCCCCGGGGTCCCGTGGGATGAAAAGGAGCCTATTCCAGACCGTAAGCTACGTCTAGTCTAAATATCATTCCGAACCTTTCAGCCGTTTTGAGGTTAAGGAGTGACAAACAAACATACAAAATTTTGCATTTGTAATATTGGTAGGATTACATCATACATCATTTTAGTGTAGGATCATTTTTAGGTACTTACATGTGAAACAAGCTAGCAGTCCACCCGCGGATTTGCCCACATGTTTTTTTTTATGTACCTATATCTATTACTGATATTATCGTTTTGTTATTGTAGGGACAAAGATAATAATATGATAGAAATATTCGATACACTCTCAGACAATATCGGGGAAATAACCCGGACGAAACAGGAATAAACCGCCAAACTATAGGTACGTCAAAAGTCACATAGGTAGGTATACCAAAAAGAGCAAAAACGTTTAAGTATGGCAGAGCCATGCTTCGGCACGAATGGGCCGGCTCGACCGGAGTGATACCACGGCCTCACAGATAACCGACGTGAAGCAACGCTTGCGTTGTGTTTCGTCGTGTGAGTGAAGTTACCGGAGGCCCAGCTACCCTCCCCCCTTCCCAAATCTCCCCAATCCCCGAATCCCCCACAATCCTCAAACTCCTAATCCCCAAAAGGCCGGGAACACACTTGTAATGTTTCTGGTGTTCCAGGTGTCCATTGGCGACGCCGATTGCTTACCATCAGGTGATCCGTCTGCTCGTTTACTGGCTTATACCATAAAAAAAACGAAAATAAAACAGCCACGCATGTTACTTAATTAATTATTCTTATATTTTAAAAGTTTACAATTACATTATTTCCTATAGAAAAGGTTGCCTTCCCCACCCCAGAGTCTTCTTCCACCGTAGCCTATTAAGTCTTGCCGGAGAGAGTTGTACTTCTTGAAGAACAACTTCTTTAGTATACGCTTTCTACGTTTATCCTCTTTTAAGCACGACTCGAGTTTGTCCATGCACACGTCCTCTCTGAAAAAAGTTAGTCATTAAATATTTTCTTATAAATATTTGTAATATATTTGTTATATACGCCATTATATACAAAATTTTCCGACTTTTATATGAGAGAGATTGCCACCCATGATTTCTTTTTAAGGGACGAAAATCATCGAATGACTGCTCCCGCCTGGGTGAGGCGAGAGGGAGTGTCAGACTCTTACTGACTAAAAACCACCCCGTTCCTTCTCCTGCACGTCGAGCCGGAGCCCCGGTTACCCGTTAGGTCCCATGATTTGGATTGATCATTAATCAACTCAGTCAAGTTACCGAAAATCTTAAGATGCAACTTCAGGACACTACAGAATAAGAAGATGGAGGAATACATAATATTGAAGCATTAATAAAAATGCCAGATTTTTAATTAAGATGACTACTATTGATCTTAATAAAGATAATTTGCCTCACTCATTCTCCATCTACTATGTAAATATGTTCATGCATTTGATGCATATACGGAAGTCAGAGGCGGATTTAACCTAAAGAACACCCTAGGCAAGCAAATCATAGGCGCCCTTAATTTATTTGGCGCCTAAACAATTGCCTAATTTGCCTTGAAGATAGTATGGCCTTCACCCAGGTACTCTAAATTTGGCCCCACTCACTTGTAATTTTGATCCAGTAGCAACTTTATAGGCTCCGTCTTCGTAAACTTGTCAGGAAGTCGGGAGCCCGGAGGCAGTTTGGCGAGCTCCTTCATGATGCCCATGATCGTGTTTTCCAACTGTGCCAATTTTGGCACCATTAACCTTTTGATCACCTGCAAAAGTAAGTGATAACCTCATGGTATTTTTATAGTACAAGATATGAAACGTGCACAACCAAATCATTTCCTATATATTGTCGGCCAAATTGAAAGATGATGTAGTGACAAGGATTGAAAAGGGAATGTTACGCTGGTTTGGACATGTAGAAAGGATGGATGAAAATAGAGTAACGAAAGAAAGAAGTATATAGAGCGGATATGAATGGGACCGTCGATAGAGGGCGCCCTAGATGGACATATAGTGACCAGATTGGCGATATATTAAAGAAGGGCCAAATAAAAAGTACCATTAACCGACGAGAATGCATGAAAAGATTGATGACTGTTGAGGAAGCGAAAGAGGTAGTAATTGGCGTTCCCTTGTCTTAGCCTACCCCCAAGGGAAACAGGCGTGAAGTTATGTATGTATGTATGTATGTATGTCGGCCAAATGATTTAGGATATAGTCAAAAAATAAAGAGTGATTCACATTCAGTATAGTTTCTGTGGCTACATTAACCAAGTTATACAGAGAAATAAAGATTGTTATTTTTTTCCTGGCTACCACATAACTTGGCTGAATATACTTTTTGGTATTACCTACATATTATAAAAAATCAAAAACATTAAATATACCTTTCCACATCGATTACCAGTTTTACACGGGGTCCGGAACTTGCGACCAAGATCCATAGTCGGTAAATTCTGTATCTGAGTGATCACATTTGAAAACGTCCCTGTGGCTGTTTTCTGAGCTAAAAACAAAATTACAAAGATATTTTGACACTTCCTCCTATCAAAAATTAGGCAACTCGAGAATGGTTGAGTTTTTAAAGTGTTCGTAATTGTAATTATCAGTATAATGTTCTATAACTGTCTAGTCAAAAGTACAAAAATAAAGAACCACAATCCGTATTCACAAGATCCCAAAATCACTGATTTGCCTTTTCCTAACTTACCCATCAATGCCTTTTTCGTTTTACCCTGTCTGGCTACATCTGGTTTATTTTGACCATTGTATTCATCAGAGTTTTTACCACAGTCTACTAAGGTAACGAATAATAGCGTAAAAACTACATTTAGTGAAAAATACTTTTTAAAAATCATTCTATGTGTGTTCTAAACACGACTAGTTAAGCTTGCGTCTCGTGTAAAGGAAGTAAAAATATGTGAAATTTCATCGAAGTGTGCCTATTTACAAAACATTACCGCTATAGGGGAAACTTCACGACGTTTTATGGTTGGCCTAAACAACAATATAAGTTGTTACATATTGCTGTGTTTGTAAATTCACGTCTCGCGACATTACAAATCGATTTAACGTCGAAACTATTCGTTTCTGTAAGAAAATAAAAAATACGTGTTATAATGATTCAAAATAATCTACCAGACGGACATTAAAATAAAAATTAGGCATCTACCCTATTGTCTAATACCTTTTTTTTATTTATTTTGACATGACAATAATATTAATCTGACAAAACGCCCTTCCTCTCTGCTACCGATTTTAAATGTTGCTGTGCCCGACAGTGTCCATAATTGTTACTATTGTATTTTCTAACCACCTGTATATGTATATTATGGATGCAATAAATACTTGATTATCTGATTACTTGATTAACTTAGGAAAAAAATATGATTTGTAAGTTCTGTGCTGGGTTTAGTGCCATTTATTACTATTTACGTACCTTTACATAAATTAACCCATAAATCCCCAAGCGGTCACCGGTGACCGCTTTCCACTAATATTACATTACATTATAGACCTTATTTCTAATGTTTAGAGAGTACTTTTGTATGACCAAATTTAGGGGATGGATTTCAACGGGAAGTACTTACATAATTTTGTAATATTGACTGCCTCATTTGACCTAACATTACAAGTAGATAAGAACTTAAGTGCTTCGTCACGCAAAGTAACTTTTGGTTATGAAATGGTTCAAAGATGGTTGGTGATGAAAACTACCATTCATATTTTAATAAAATCTCGAATTAGTCTAAAAATAGCTATGCATTTTCTGTGGGGGATATAGCTCAGTGGCAGAGCAATCGACTGCAGATCGATAGGTCCCCGGTTCAAATCCGGGTGTCCCCTACTTTCATTTTATGTTCCCATTTTAAAATGACATTTTCATTACAAGTTGAAACATATTTTTATTTCTTTTATTAATGAAGTTTCGAAAGTTATACTTAGAAATTGGAAATAGTGGAGGTATAAAATATTTTCAACGAAAAATTATGTAGGTACTACCTACATAATTTTTCTATTTCTTTAACTATTTCTTTAACATAACATTTAACAATCCCAAAAGCCTTATTTAAATTAAATTTTAAATTAATTAAAAATAATTAAAAACATATTTAAATTAAATAAGGCTTTTGGGGTAAAGATGTGTTATATTTTACGAGCACTTACTCAGCGCGAGCTTTATTACATTCATGGAAACTACTGAACCAATTTTAATGTTTGGTTCTTTTCATGCCCAACGCAATTTATTATTTAAGGTCTAAAAATTAAATTAAAATCATTTTCGAATGCGTGTTTTGATAGATTGATAATTGAGATTTCCTTGATTACTTGAGATCAGCTAGCCTTTAGAATGTAATGGTTAAGTGTGGGCGAGCCATGCTTCGGCACGAATGGGCCGTCTCGACCGGAGTGATACTACGGCCTCACAGAACACCGACGTGAAACAACGCTCGCGTTCTGTTTCGTCGTGTGAGTGAGGTTACCGGAGGCTCATTATCCCCCCCCCTGCTCTCCAATCTCCCCAATCCTTGAATTCCCAACAATCCTCAAATTCCTAACCCCTAAATGGCCGGTAACGCTCTTGTAACACCTCTGGTGTACTGGGTGTCCATAGGGATGCCGATTCCTTACCATCAGGTGATCCGTCTGTACCTACAATTGTTTACCGGCTGATCCCTTAAAAACAAATTCTTCGCAATGACAAATGATTTTAACTTCAGGTGCATGTTCCCGGTAAATTCAATTTTAATGATTATGATGATAATAATTATTAATATTCGCAGTACTGAAATGTATAGTATTTATAGTTTACATTTATATATTTATAATTTTCAAGCATTGCCCTTCATATTATCATCCATTGATCGATCGCGCAGATCATGCTATAATTTGAGAACTACTGATTCTGTACCTATAAATATTAATTATTTTTGTGTCGGATACTCAGTTTACCCAGAGAGGCTATAGGTAGGTCACATAACATCACGCTAAAACCAATAAGATAGAATAAAAAAAAATTTAAAAATAAGATAGAAGTCGAGTAGGGGTAAATCTGCACGGGTGCGGTGTATTGATGTTTGTAATGGTGGTGTAGCTTTAGAGTTTTTGGTTAAATAGTCTAAGGATGTAGTTAAATAAAAAAAACACGATGACATACTCAAAAGGTCAAGGCTCAAATTAAAAAGTAATAGTAAGTAAGTCAAAGTCTAACAAAATGAAACTGTCAAAATAATTGTCAAATTATAACCAAACACTCCGCCAGGCGCCAAATAATACCAAACAAGAAAAAAATATATGTTCGAGGGTACCCTCATCAAGACCACATTCGCATACAGAGTTGTCACGAATGTGAATCTTGTACAAAAAAACTGGACTACTGCAGTGGCCGAGTCTAAGTCTACACAAGGACGTGACTGCTTGTTTTGGGATTTTACGAAATTTAAAAAACCAAGGTTTCCTCTGGATGCTAGGTTGGACGGAAGCGTAGTAAGCTCCTTTACGCTGTGAGGTACTTTTCCATATTGAAGACCACGTGTCATAGAGCTTTCGCTTTGTGTCGGCTCGGATATCATAGCCGGGTATAACAAAATGATGGCGTTCCACATCACCTGACGTAGCAAACTTAGCCAACGCATCAGCACATTCATTTCCGCGTATGCCAGAGTGGCCAGGGATCCAAACTATTTCGATATTAAGCCCTTCATTATGACAGCACCAAAGGAGGTGTTTAATATCTACAACTTATCTTGCTCCATAAACTCCCAATATCTAGACCTCTATAGAGAACTCCCTAATATTAAAATTCCCCTCCCAATTAATTTTCGCTCACTATTAACCAATTTTTTTCCTAAACTCATTAACCTTTTGGCAAAATTCATTATTAAAAATAATATTAAAATCTAATATATAATGAGAGTACCTAATATAATATAGTGAATGTGCTTTAAATTTAAATGTCAATGCCATTTTTTTGTCCCTTTTCTATTTAAATATATAATCTGTAATGCCCACACCTGCCGTAACACATGACGCTGGCAGAATAGTCAACTACTAAATAGTGGAGACTCAATTGCCATAGAAGAAAAAAAAAAAAAAAAAAAAAAATACCAAACAAGAAATTGTCACATTTTTTTGGTTGAATTTGTTCAATGTACCGGCAATTTATTAAAATGTTAAAATTTGGAAAAACTGAAAAAGTACATTTATTATAATATAATAAACGACAATAACTTTCACAAATGTTAAACAAAATATAATTGGATTATTCAAGAAAAGTCATAAAATCAAATTACAATGACTGGTAACGAAGAAAAGAACAGTTGCAAGAAGAATGATTTTACGAACGGTATTCCTAACAACATATTAATAAAATCAATAGATAATTTTTCCAATGTCACGGAACTGGACATGAGCAATGGTAAAATACAAAACCTCGACGGAAATATTAAATTCCCTGCAAGTTTACTCCATCTCAACTTGTCTAACAATAAATTGACTGAGGTGCCCAGTAATGTGCTCAAACTGGACAATTTGAAATCCTTGGATATTTCCTTCAACTCAATCTTGGTTTTCGATGATATACCAAGTTTCTGCCATAGTATTGAAAAGCTTAACTTGTCAAAGAACTCTTTAAACGGACCACCACTCTGGGTGTGGACCGAAAAGCCTAGAAATTTAAAATATTTGAACATAAGTAACAACAAGGACTTATGCTCCACTTTTACAGATAATTATTTAAATGAATTATGTCAGTACAAAACTCTAGTCAATGATATAGACATGCATAATTGTAGAATAAGTAAGTATGTGAAGCTGCTTGCCTCATTTTGTCATACTAGAGTTATTACTCTAGGCAATGAAGAGTATGTGCACCATCTTGTGAACAACTTGGACCACTTTCCATGTGAGGGACTGGAGGAGTGCAGGGATGTAGAAGTCTTGAATCTAGCAAATACGCAGCTGTTCCACATTAACTCTAATATTGATATTTACACTAATTTGAAAGAATTGAATCTCTCACAGAACAATTTAAACAGTCTACCAAATGAATTTTACAAATTGGTAAAGTTGGAGACTTGTATATTGTCATACAACAGTCTGGATTACCTGCCTAGCAATATATGTGAGTTGACTAGTTTAGTCACACTGCGATTAGATAATAATAAACTTTGTATGCTTCCGGAAAACTTGCATGAGATACCCAACCTCAAGGTCTTAGATTTGTACAATAACAAATTGCATGAAGGACCAAGCAACCTGAATTTGGAAGAGGTTGATCTAGCTCAAAACTGCTTTGATGAGCCTGATGATGAAGAGTATTTGTTGAAGAAACAAAAGTTACGAATTAGTTACCCTGATAGGAAAATTGGAAGGTTAGTATATGTAGGGTAGTACTAACTGGATGTTGAGCTGCCACGGAATATGTAGTGGCTTAGTACAATTTTTTTCAGTACAGTCACTCAAAGTAACAAAGTAAAAAAATTATTGAGAATAATTGGTTCGTAAAAAAATTATATTCCTTTCTAAAATAAAGCATTAAAGTTCAGAATTTGGTATTCCATAATACTGAAGCACTATTCAGGATAACATAAGTAAAAATACAGACGAAAAAATAAAGAATTGTAGCAACAAGTGTCAAAAGGCTGGCACAGGTGTACTTTTTCGGGATAACACATAAGTCATTGTAATTTAAAAAGTATCTGACTTGGATTTCTTTATATTTTTCTGATGACTGTTTCAACCTTGTTGATCATCTGGTGCCATTTGATCGTCAACTTCAGAGACACCCTGTATATATTTATATATTACTGGCTTTTACCCGCGTTTTCGCTCGCGTAACAAAAGGATAAAAAGCAGCCTATGTCACAGTTGTGACACCAATACACACAGCGCCATCTATACCAATAATTTCGTTTTCCCTCTAGAATATCAAATTTTTCCAGTATAAAAAGTACCCTATTATTTAATCCAGACTTATAACTTTACGTCTGCAAAAATTTAAAGCAATCGGTTTAGTAGTTACGGCGTGAAAGCGGAACAAACAATAAATTATATTTATTCAGATATTTACACATATCTGTAAAATCGTACTAGTTTATCTTTCATTAGGTTAATAAAATCGTTGCTTACCTCTTGCACCTACCATTTACTCTTCTCTGCATCACCCAAAGGTCAGACTGGTAGAAAATGCCTGCGTCATTAAGTCCACCTATTTGTACATTTTATGCATGAAGCCTAAATATGCAGTCAATCAAAAACTTTGATCAACTCAAATATATTTAATTTCAGAAAAGTAGAAGTGACTGAACAAATTGAACCCAGCCTTTCATCCAGTGATGAAGAAGAGCTCTATGAATTGGCAACAAATGAAATTATACATGATGACCAAAAAGGTGGGTTACAAGAATATATCATATTCCATTTTGCTCACACATCAGTATTTTTTTCATGTTCTTGATGACTCTCTCTTCATTCATCTACACTGAAAGTTCAGACAAAGATTATGATAGAAATAAGGTGTAGGTTAAGAATACATATTATATATAATTATATTTATCATTACCTCGTTCCGCGCGGTTACACCAGCACTGCTCGGAATCTGTGGATTTTAGCATGATGTTCTATAGCCTATAGCCTTCTTCGAGAAATGTACTATCATCATCATCATCAGCCTATAAATGCCCACTGCTGAGCAAATCTTCTCACACGGAGAAGATTTGAGTATTAGTCACTCTTGCTCAATGCAGGTTGCCGATTACATAATTATAATTAGAAATTATATGCCCCAGGTTTCCTCAGGATGTTTTCCTTCACCGTTTGTCAGCGGTGTCATAATTAATATATAACTCGGAAAAAGTCATATTGGTACTTGCCGTTGATAGGTTTCGAACCCGCACCCTCATGAATGGGAAGAGGGCATCTTAAACCTCCGGGCTACCACGACATGGACTATACAGCACAAAAAAAATTCAAATCGGCCTATAATTTCCAGATAACCGAACAAGTTCTCCTGAAGATTGGGACTCTGATGACTATTGGATCCCTCAGTACGATCCGCCAGCTACTCCACCACTATCACCCTGGATATATTACGTACAGACGAAAATGAGAGAAGGGAATTTCTGTCCAATGGATGCACACCCTATTTCAATATCAGATTTAGTAAGGTATGACCGACTGTACAATCCTCATCTTGTACATAGTTTAGATGGTCATTCTGACAATTATTCTGATGACGATAGCTGATTATAATTTTTTCGTTTTCATCTGCATGTAATTTGTTATGCCTACCTACATATCAAAACTTTTTGGACGCCTTTTGATTTTCTTCTATCTATGGTGTTTCAAGCATGACCTATTGTGAGTGGGGCTACTATATATTTGTTCATCAGATGGTGCTAGTGTGAGCTTCACGTTTTTCGTCCAATAGGGAATTAATTAGCTATGTTATGTACTAGTGTCAGATCATTGGACGTTCAATATTTAGTGATTAGTCAAAATACCTATTCCTATATTTGCACCATTCGGTGACCAAAAAACGGTAGGCCCCATTGACTCTGAATGAAAATGTTGAAATAGGTAATAAATTGTATATTTCAGTAGAATATAATACAATAAAGTACTATTATTTATTTATATGTGAATAAATCGACCTTTTATGTAACCATAAACTATATTTTAGGTATCTTTGTTTTTTTTTTCTATTGAGGATAAGTTTTTTGTGTTAAAGATCTCAATTAATTGGTATGATTTTATCAGTAAATCATATCTTTATATACAACTTAGTATTCGCATACATATACTTAGATATTATATTTTCGTGTTATGCACATTATGTAATTTACATACATGTGTAATACACTACCTTATGTATGTATAGTGTATAAGTTGGGTATTTACCATATCTTTATTTTATGTCAAGCTAATAATAGACTAGAATACTTTTAAAATTGTTAACATAAATCTTCCTTATTCTTCTAATTACTGCTATAGTGCCATACCTACTAAGTTCACAGACAACTATCTAACTCACTTATCACTCCATTACCATTAATGTCCGTTGCGTCGCAACGGAACAACGCATTGTACGACGCACGACGTCGCAGCTGCGTCTCAGACTCTTACAGACTCTCTTCTTAGACTCTAGATACAAACGTGATGGCTATCCGTCAACGCGGCTCACTCTCCTTCCGTTCGTCTCTTGTCCGTCTATCAGTTGAAACGTCGTGCGCGACGACACAACGGTGTAATGAGGTATGTTATAAAAACTATATGAAAAACGACGCAACGAACAAATGGAGCCTCGTCATTAGCCTAAGCGATAATATAATGGAAAAATCGTCCATTATCTTAATCGTCCTATTAAATATAACCATACCACCATAATATACCAAAGTTACATGGGACACAGATTAAAATCCTAATAATATTATACTTTTCTTGTAATACCTAGTGATAGCTAGATTTTTATAATAACTATCGTGAGACATACTAAATTAAGTAAAAACGCGGGTTACTCACGTGAATATACTGAGAAAAGCTCTACTAGTTTCGAACCACAGAGGGGTTCTTCCTCATGAGCAGCGTGCGCGGTCGCGGCGACGTCGCGCAGCTCACTGTCTCTGCTGCTCTGCTTTCTGCTGTCTGCTTTTCTCAGTATATTCACGTGAGTAACCCGCGTTTTTACTTAATTTAGTAATAGCTAGACTTTGATTTAAAAAAATATGTATCTCAATTCAATGAAAAACATGTAATAAATTAATGTATTTAAATAATTTATAGGCGTAAATATTTATATAATTGGTCCACATTTTATATAAATATTAATCACAGTCTATAACTCTATACTACCTATTATGTACCTAGATAATGTAGATCCAAACTGAATCAAAATGTATGGCTTACATTTTATTTATTACGTGATTACTATTCAATCTGTAGATCCATATTAATTGCAGCTATATTCAAATATTTGAATACTTAATGTTAACACATGTTTTGGTGCTAAATGGTTAAATAAAACCAATTCTAAATTGCTAAAACGCGCCTTAATAATTGTATTATTATTGCATGTACTATTAAAATAAATAATACTTAATTAGAATCTAATTGTTTTATTTATTTCATTTACAATTTCTTCTTGGATACTGTTTCTGTTCTCTCTTGTTACCTAAAAAAAATAAAAGGCTTAATTGTCAGCAGCAAGAGGAAGAAGAACGGAACACAGAAAGGGTGTTTAAAATTACATAACATCACACCTTTTATCCCCGAAGCGGGGACGGCAGAGGTGCACATTATGGCACTTAATGCCACTGTACAATATCATTTTGTACAGTGTACTTACATACAACACCCACTTGACACTATATCATTTTTTGCTTGTCCAGCAGTCTGCATTAAACAAAATATTATACCAAAAATCCCCAAAATTTGTTCATACAAAAGTAGTCTCTAAATATAGGAAGTAAGGTCTACATGGAGTTAGTGGAAAGCGGTCACTGGTGGCCACTTGGGGATTGAACAGTTAAACATGCTAGAAAATCTGTAAAAATAATATTCTTATTTACCGTCCAAACTTTAGCTTGACTATGGTTTCTAATAGACTCAATTAATTTGTCACTTTTTCTAATAGGGATGGTGGCCAGTACTGTGTATTCTGATGAGGGACTAAAAATTGTCTGAATGGCATTCTTGAATTTTTCACTAAAGAACTCCATTTTTCCTATTTCATCTATGACCAGTAAGTGTGCTTGAGTGTTATTTGGCTGTGGACAAAGAAGAAAAAAGTTTATTGATAAAGGATACTTTAATAAAAAATAATGTTCTGTAGATGTAACCTGCATACAGTCACTGGAAAGAAATGCATGTTTTCTAAGCTAAAGGACTTCAATTTAAATTGCGGCGAATTTTATTTATATATGGGCAGTGTTTTAAAAAATTAAAATAAAATTGATTCACCTTCACGAGGGAGGGCAAAGCAATAATTTCAAATTCTTCTACTAGAACACCATATTTTCCGACTTTATATTTGACGGGAATATTCAACAGACTCTGATCTCTTGCCAATCTCCCTCTAGCACCATCCAAACCTACTACATCAAACCCCTCTCTAGTCCTATCATATCGAACTTCTTCGGTATAGAATCCCGAAGTTTTAATACCTTTGCTTACAATTTCCGCTACTAATTTCTTTGTCAGTGTAGTCTTGCCCACTCCTGTAATAATAATAATATAATTATAAACATCTGAAGCAAACACTGTTCTTAATCCTCATTTTATCGTCATTCATTAGCTAACCAGGTTCTCCGGTCAAAATAAAATATTTATAAGTTTTTGAAGCCATTTTAGATATAATATTTTATTTAAGTTATTATATCGCAGCACAATCGATGGAATAAGTTCGATCAAGTTAAAATTCAGGTAAAATTAATTTAATTAATATTTCGGTTTAACCAAAATAACCAAATTGGTTATGTCTTTGTTTATTTTCATAATGTCAAAACGTTTCGTAGGTACCTACCTTCCTCAGGTTTTTTTTAATTATCTGGTTTTTATAGTATCACATCATAATTATTGAATGAATAAACACATTTATCCATTTACCTATACCTAATTCAGATATAATGCGATATTATCATTGATTTGCAAATTTCGTCTAAGAAATAAAAAAAATGTTTATAAGAAACTAAACGTATTTGACATTTACCCATTGATAATACTAGCAAATTAAAAAGGCGTACTTATTGGAGACAAGTATAATAAACTGCGTTCTCTTTTAAAAATCATATAATATAATCCCTGAAGAATGCAACAACTTTTCTTCTCTTTCACACTTATGACAAATTAATATTTTTGTTTCTTTGGATCTCGTTTTTAATATTCTTATCAAAACTTATCGTAGTATCAAAGTTCATTCTTCCGAAGATATTTTCGCCGGCGTTTAAGTTTTATCTGGCGTTTATATCGTTCAGTATTGGATAAGAAAGGCGGCGTTATAGTCGTTAAATAATACTAATCACAAAAATGGCCTCCGTCGGCGCTGTAACCCGTATTTTGTTGGGAAAACATGTGGTGAGCAGAGTGGCAGCCACCAATTCCGGTTCTATTAAATTCTATAGCACTGGTAAGCTATCAAACTTTCTGGAATAAATTTTGATTAAGATACTGGTAACTAGGTATGCTTTGTAAACTGTGATGTAAGCGATAACAAAATTAAGATCACGAAAGGAAAGGATCAGGAAAGAATCTACCAAAAATAGGGTATAATTATTATAATCGTAAAGAAGATATCATATTTTTTACTTTTAATAAACGATATTATTATGCCTAATTAATCTCAATGGTAGAATACCCAAACCAGTTTCAATTGTAAATTTTTACTTTTTCATTAGATTTATGTAATGTAGGTATCTACTTGAGTAGGTATGCCTTTTCCATGTAACCAAAGTTTACATAATATTAAAATATAGGTACTTAGGTAAGTATAGGTACGTTAACATCATCTGCCACCTTTGACCAGTCATTTATTTAAATTAGCATATTCGGTCAGTGGGTCACCTTAGGGTTCAGTTCAATACTTATCTAAAAAGTGAATAACACAATGTTTAAAGCACAATAGATTTGTATTTCATTAAAATGTGATTCATATGAATTCTAATAAGTATTAACAAACAACTGAGACTGAGATGTAAATAAAGTTTATACACTATTATTTTTACATGACAAACTCAAAAAGAGTACATGTTAAATGTTTTGATGTGGTTTTGTTGAATGTTTGATTTTCCAAAGTTTTTTTTCAGATAATGATTATTTAAAAACTATCAATATACTAAAATGTTTTTGGTTAAAAGTTAATTTGCTATTTAAACAATGGTAGAGGTAAAAATTACAAGTTTACATTTAACAGGTGGCTGGCAGGTATGCTCTTGCCTATTCTTAATTCAAAATTTAAAAAATATGTGGTCAAGTCTCAAGTCCATAAACTGAGATCAAAGATGGTGGACAGTGGTTACATTAAATACAAAGTAGATAAATTATATGTGACGTTGACAATACTATTTTTTATCTTATCACTACCACTGTGTTAAATTGGAGGAAGATTACACTGTCACAATTAAAATTATTATTGAATAAAAATGATGATTTGCTATAATTTTATTACCTATTTCACTGTACCTATAACTTTAACAGATTTGGTAAATTAAACTTACTGACTAATAATTATCTACATAATGACTATGTTAATGACTGTATTTTACACAGTATTTTTTTATTAAAATAATTTTCTTTCTCTGTTAAAAATACTCAAACTGCTAGAAAAATAAGTATTTTAAAAAAAAAATTAAAAAATAAATATTAAAAACGTAAGTTACGAAAATCTTAAAAAAAGAAGTACCTATATACATATATTTTTTACATTCATAATCACTATATACTATATATACTACATATATATATATATATATAAATACTATATACTATATATACTATATATCACTATATACACTATATATTTTTTACATTCATAATCATACTAAATTACATTTACATTACCCAAAGCATTATAGGTATATACAATTCATATAAAATACAGAAAAATAATGAAATGATTAAAATCTGTCCGCAGCACCAGCATATGAAAACATCAAAGTGGAAGTAGTCGGCAGCAAGAAGAATGTAGGTCTGATCCAGCTGAACAGGCCTAAGGCCCTGAATGCCCTGTGCGGCCCACTATTCGTGGAGCTCGGTCAGGCAGTGAGAGACTTCGACGCTGATGAAAAGATCGCTGCTATCATCATTACAGGTAACTATTTTCTTTCCTTTTTAGAATAAAAATGTAGGTATTGCGTCTTAGTCGTCTCGTGGTCGATACCCGGGTCAAGCGATTGGCTCACGAATGACTACATGGTTGGCGCAAATAATGAAAAATAGACTTTCTTATTAGCTGTTTATTGCCTTATCGTTACTACAATATGTTTGTAAGTATTACTATCTTTTTTTAATAATCATACGTTTACGTAATAACACGCCCAGTAACCTAATCTAGTAGAATTGCTAGTGGGCCTGTATCAGTAGATAAGTTATAAAAAAAAAAACAGAATCATCAATCGACTTAAGTCTTAATATTACGATAAAAAAACTGCCTTATTGATCGAACAATTGTAAGCGCTATTTAAGAGTCGTCAGTTTCAAATTCCCATGCATGGCTATTTGTTTTCACATTCGCGTCACACTCAGATCCCGAAAAACAATTAAACTCACAAAGAGTTCCGTCAAAAATTCCGTGGTAGTCCCACGACACGTCATACAGCTACTGATCACCTAGAACCTAACGGGTAACCGGGGCTCCGGCTCGACGTGCAGGAAAACGAACGGGGTGGTTTTTAGTCAGTAAGAGTCTGACACTCCCTCCCGCCTCACCCAGGCGGGAGCAGTCATTCGGTGATTTTCCACCCTTAAAAAAAAGTCACTCTGCCGCCGACCCTGTAGTCACAGAGGTACGAGTAATTTTATATATGTATATACACTCGGCAGCTGCATCTGCAGGTCAATCTACTCCTTTCTGTTAAGTTTCTTATTGGACTTAATCGTTTTGATATGAAATCGAAAATCTAATAATGAATTTCAAAAGCGCTCGTTTGCTTTTAGCTTATTAGCTCTTTAGTATGAATGCTTCGGCACGAATGGGCCGGCTCGACTGGAGAGAATACCACGGCCTCACAGAAAACCGACGTGAAGCAACGCTTGCGTTGTGTTTCGTCGTGTGAGTGACATTACCAGAGGCCCAATTACCCTACCCTTCCCCAATCTCCCCAATTCCTGAATCCCTAACGAACCTCAAACTCCTAATCCCCAAAAGGCCGGTAACGCACTTGTAGCGCCTCTGGTGTTCCAGGTGTCCGTGGGCGACGCCGATTGCTTACCATCAGGTGATCCGTGCGCTCATGCCATAAAAAAAATTACCTTATTATTTATTAATTTATTTTCTCTCAGTAGCTTTTCGCTCAGTGTACATGTAATTGTCACTGGTTTGTTCCAAGCTCTAAATTTAAATTAGGATCATATTTAATGTATGGGTTATTCCGATTATTCAGTTTAAATTTAATATGGTGTTAGTCATAAGGTGGTAAAAATATTTTCTTTGTTTCCAGGCAATGAGAAAGCTTTCGCGGCCGGAGCTGACATCAAGGAGATGCAGAACAACACTTTCAGTCACAACACGAAGAAGGGATTCCTCAAAGACTGGGAGGATGTCTCTAACTGCGGCAAACCCATCATCGCAGCTGTCAATGGATTTGCTGTAAGTACATTACATATAACAGAGAACAGGTGTACATCAACAGTTCGCGAGAGCTCACTGTAGGACATGTGCTTCCTCTACATAAGAGGAACCCCTCTTATACAAATGATTATGATTGTGATCAGTGGTCTGTCAAATGAGTACCATACCTTTATCCTGTTTTTTCTGTTGTGTGATTGTATCAATTGAATCTTCGAAGTACCTTTCGTTCTTATAATCTAACTTATTTGTTTCACCGTTCGATCAACTCTAAAGGCTATCAGTTACAGTTCACAGAGGCACCCATCCGCAGGATTTCTCACTGGCATAAAACAATACGAATTATATTCATCACTACATCACTATCACTACATAGTATAAAACAAAGTCGCTATCCGCCGTCTGTCTGTCCCTATGTATGCTTAGATCTTTAAAACTACGCAACGCATTTTCATGCGGTTTTCTATAATAGATAGAGCAATTCTTAAGGAAAGTTTAAATGTATAATACATGCATAATGCACCCGTGCGAAGCCAGAGCGGGACGCTAGTATACTATAATTTACACTTATTACTTCCAGTTGGGTGGTGGATGTGAATTGGCTATGCTCTGCGATATTATTTACGCTGGCGAGAAGGCCAAATTCGGGCAGCCAGAGATCAACATTGGAACCATTCCCGGGGCTGGTGGCACCCAACGTTTACCCAGATACGTTGGCAAGTCCAAGGCAATGGAAATTGTTCTCACTGGCAACTTTATTGACGCTGTCGAAGCCGAAAGAATGGGTAAGTTGGACAAAAAATTCAATAAATAAAAAACTGTCAGTCATTGAGGGAAGCCTATGTTCAGGTTCAGCAGTGAATGTCTTATCTTGTGGTTGATAGATAATGATCTTGTTTTTGTTATTCAGGTCTCGTGAGCCGCGTGTTCCCAGTTGACAAACTGTTGGAGGAAACAATCAAATTGGCTGAGAGGATTGGTACCCATTCCCCACTGATCGTAAAGATGGCCAAGGCAGCAGTCAACCAAGCTTACGAGACTACCCTTAAGTCAGGCCTGCAGTTCGAGAAAGCTTACTTCTATGGAACTTTTGCTACGGTGAGTAAACTCTCCAGGCGCGCTTGAAACCATCAAATACCTAGGTCATACATTACCTCACGTTTTTTTCGAATCTGAAGTTAAGCAATATCAGAATCTACCCAGCGCTACCTAGTACTATTCTTACACATTCAAAATTTCCTCAGCGTCCATCGCATTGACGTTTCTGGTCATAAAATTTCATATAAGACCGCTGCTAAATGAGTGAACTGAATTGAGGATCGTTCGATTGCGGTCGGCATTATGTTCGTGGAAATGAAGAGTCCAACTCTTGATTCTTATCGTAAGTTGTCGGTGTAACTATGTATATTAAATGTGATATTTATTTTACAGGAGGACCGCAAAGAAGGTATGACGGCGTTCGTCGAGAAGAGACCACCAAACTTCAAGAATGAATAATTTTGTTACATTTGTTATACACTGCAGTTTTCGTATCCCATATATTGTAAGATAAGGTGCTATATTATACATTGTAGACTCACGTCACCTGTTATCCAATTTGCATTTTGTTTATAATAAATGAATTTATTTTTGATCATTATTTAATTTTACTGTCTGTCCATGGCCTGTCACTGTCTCTCCACAAAATTGTTAAACTCCAATGTGTAAAAAATTTAAGAAAATTATTACAATTTTGTCTGAAATATCACTTACCGTAGTAAGAACTTCTTACACCGTTGGTTCAGCGACCTGAAGGACCTTGTCTTCTCCATTTTGCCCTTACCCGCGTTTCTTGACAGTTTGTCCGACTTGTGGGTGGACGTCCTGCACTCTGTTCACCTGTGTGATATGATATCTACGATAAACTAAGTTTCATTAATTGTATGATAATTTAAAGGTAGGTAATGGTAGCTTGTAACTTCAAGTAATCAAGTACCTACCTACGAATGCAACAATCTTTAGTAAACAAGTCAGAACTTGTTTACATGACTAATGATTATTGCATTCAGATAGCAAATTACTCTGATAGGTAATCTAGTACTTATTTTCTTTATTTCAAAATGCCATCTAGTGTTGAATAGTGCGCTTTGAATCCCCTGGCTCCTGCTCCCCGGTTAGATGACCATTCGCCGAAAACCAAATATATTGAAAGTACGTCTCTACCTACTTCTTCAAAGTCATTTAATAAGATCTGATGTTATGGTACTTAATTATATTACTACTTTATTATGTTAGTGTATATAATTATTGAGTGAAATTACTCTATTTTGAAACGATACGTGCCGTTTTTTATTGGTGAATGAGTGGCAATCTTTTCGATAGCAATTACGTATTGCACGTGTCTAATTAAATTATTATCTTTACATTTCCTAATTATTTGATGAGAAAAGTAAAAATGTTTTATTATTAGGTATCCAAAATGTTTAAAAATCTATTAGGCTGTTTCGTTTTGCAACCTTTGCTTGTCAATAATGGCGTCATTGGTTGCTGTCAAAATATAACACGTCCAAAAAAAGGAGTCTATTAGCTGTCAAAATATGTACGTGGTTTGCAAAAAAAATCATCATCTCAATTTACCAGTATAAAATGATAATCCAGCTATAGTCAGAATTTTAATTAGATTCCAGATTTGACAATAGCTACTGTCATTTTGTGAAATAATGATACCACATATAATATTGTAGTGATGAACACAAAAATCGATAAACAATCAGTGTGTGTGTTTTATAATAAATGTTACAGAAAGTGACAGGATAGCGATAGCGATGACGGCGACAATTTATAAAATAACTTATTACCATAATACATCTATCTGTTTTATTTGTCATGTTCCTTTATGGTTACATTTTTTTATTTATTTCACACACAATTATAAAAGAAAAGTCTTAGATCGTTAATTAATCGTCAAAACTAAATTATCGGTTCAGAAATATTTTATTTCCTGATATACTTAGTTTACAAGAGTAAAATTATAAACAAGAAGAATCGATCCAGTAATACTGCATTATCATATCGAATAATTTCGCAACGTCACTATTTAGTACTTGTCATAACGTTGCAACACTGAAATTGTCAAATCTGGAATCGAATTAAAATTCCGAGTATAGTTTGTTGTGTACGCATGAATTTCCTTGTGTTTTAATGAATTAATTTGCATTTCTAGCCTATTTGTTGATAATGCGAAAAGAACTTAACTAGTCACATGTATAGTTTCGTTGTGTAGACAAGTGATTCACGTTTTTATTTTAAGAATCTGTGTCCATGTTTTGGGATCATGTATACCGTAACAGGCACATCATGCAAGAGTTCGAAGACATAGAGGTACACAAAACCAGTGTATCAGTGTTTGTGGCCCTATTTTATTTAGAAATGCTTTACATTTTAATCATGACGCTGTCTATTCTAAATAGATTGAATCAAAACTTACCGTCGTAAACGTACCTATATTTACATTAGCCGTAAGTACCATATTTATTATAGCATATAAGATTTTATTTCTGTTTGTTTATCTCCGACAAATATATAAGACAATTTTTTTGTTATATTTCTTAAATTATCCATAAAGAAACCAAACTTTTGATTTACACATCACACTTCAAACTATTACTTATTGAAATAAATAAAAAAGAAGCTCAGCATAATTTCTAATATATAATTTTATAAATAAACAATATGTTAATAATCAAAATCATTGAGTACATAATACAACTTATATTAAGATAAAATTCCTTATAAGAACAATATCTGTTGCTATGGCTAAACAATCCCACTTTCTTCATCCTAAAATAGGAGAAAGATCAATAAATTGTACATGTATTCTTAGTAGCCACCCACTATCATTATTGTGAATGTGAGGAGATAATGTTCTCAGACAACAGTTACTTAGTTGACTCAGTATTCATTAAAGTGTTATAGAAAGTCTAATATAATATAAGTAAGTGACATAAAATCATAAAAATAATTTTCAGTTTAAGTTTCAATAAACCAAGATGATCCGCAAACCAAATATCCAGGGCAGATTTTATCTCTCTCTAAATGAAGAAGACACCATCCACCTTGACAATTGCAGAGTACCACAGCACCATATTGAAGGGATTCGCTTCCTCTACAAACAGTTTAAAAGGGTAAGCAGCTTTTAACACTTTTGAACATAATAGTAATGAACTATATAACAAAATCTAAGTTTCTGAATTACACACATTTCTTATTCTTATATCACTTTTCAGCTTGGCAATAGTATATAGATTAGATGACCTCCCCGTTTTATGTTACCATCAAGCTGGTTTAAATATTAGAATTGGAAGGTGGTTGATAGAACCATAATAATATTGAGCTTATTAGATATGTCAATTTCTCCTTATTACAAGGACATAATATATTATTATTGTTTATTTAATTCAGACAGGCAGTTGAAACAACTGATAAATGCCTGTATCAAATTTTTCTATCAGTGGTTAATTCGATGTTGTGTATCTGTCAAGTCGGTTTTTGAACTGGTTAACATTCTGTGCAGCGATTACTGGCAGCTTGTTCCATGCTCCGACCACGCAATTACTCAGAAAGTGTCTGTGAGGGATATTTTTCGATAAGCTTTTACACAGCTTAAGATGGTGGCCTCTAAGATGAACATTTTCATTAAGTGAGAATAGTTTGTCGAAATCAGCAAAGTCATAATGTCCACTCAAGATCTTGTATGTCTCATATACGTTTAAAAACATGTTTTTATTTATTTTAACTATGAATTTATAGATCCACCATACATTGACTATGTACTACAGGGTAGATGACTAATTTTTATTTTAATGTCTGTCTGGTAGATTATTTTAAAACTTTACACATATATTTTTTTATTCTCAGTAGGTACTTTAGTATAACTATTATTTTACATAATATCTAACCTCACAAATGTTTTTGAGGAGAACCTAACGGGCTACAGGGGCACCGGCTCAAAGTGCAGGGGAAAGAACAGGGTGGTTTTTAGTCAGTAAGAGTCTGACAGTCCTCTCGGAGAAGGTATTCGATGATTTCCCCCCTTAAAAAAAATACCTCACAACTGTTTCCCATGGGGGTTGACAAAGACTATGGAATGCCAATTGCTACTATTGTTCATACCCGTTTTGCTTCCTCAACTGTTATCAGTCTTTTCATGCATGTTCTTTGGTTAAGGGTACTTTAAATTTGGCCCTTCTTAGCTATAGCTATTTTCTCATTCATAATATAACATAACTTCACGCCTTTTATCCCCGAAGAAGTAGGCAGAGGTGTAAATTACGGCACTTAATGCCACTTTACAATGTAACACCCACTTTTCAATGTCATGAATCCCATGTAATAGGGGGTGAGCCTATTACCATATACCGGGCACAACTCCAGACTCCGTGCTACTACTGAGAATTCTAAAAACTCAGTAGTACTTTGCCCGACCCGGGAATTGAACCCGAGACTCCTTGCCCGGCAGTCACACTTGCGACCACTCGGCCAACGACACAGTCTATTTTTCACAGAGTTAGAGAATGCCACCCGGCATTAAGTCCGCCATCGTATGTTTGTTATACAGAAGTGTTAATAAATAAATAAAAAAAATATTTTCTATTTTCTCATTCCAAAGTGTAAATTCTTATAAAATAGAAAAAGGACACAAGTATTATGTATCACATGTAAAGTAAGCATCACATATTCACATACATATAGCCCCACTCCCTGATATTCCATGGAAAGCAAGCCATCATCTTATGTTTTAATACTTTGTTTTCCAGAAAAGAAATGGAGTGATTATAAATGATCCATTGGGTTTTGGAAGAAATATCCAAATAACTTTGTTCCTGAAGGCTGTGCAACCGTTGCTCAGCAGACCGGTACTGATCTTGTGCGAGGAGGGCAGTGAAAATGACTGGTACGAACGGTTTTTTACGTGGACAGATTTATCTAATGGTGAGTTTTACAATATTTTATACTTAATGTTGTTTAAAAATAGTACTGTGAGATAATAGGGTAGACGACTAATTTTTATTTTAATGTCCGTCTGGTAGATTATTTAAAAACATTAGACACGTATTTTTTATTTTCTTACGGAAACGAATAGTTTCGAAGATATATTGATTTGAAATGTCGCGTGACGTCACTTCTCAGTACATTTTATACTAAGAAATGACGTTTTAGCCCCCACTCCTAAACTTTGATTCGTTTTATCTAAGTATTGTTTTATTATACAACAAAATAAAAAAATACGTGTCTAATATTTTTTTATTACCTAAGTTACGGACTAATTATATTTTTAATTTTCATACCCTGTCATCATCCCCATTATGGTATTTGAAGTAATTTAACTAGAATAGAGATAATATTGATGTTACAATATCAATTGAATTGTCCAAACTAAGTGATAAAGTTCACCTACAACATTATACATTTTTATCATCACTACAACTAGTAACTTTGAAATACCACAGTACCATTACCAAACGAAGTTGTGCACAGTTCTTGCTTTCTGTTATTTACCTGTGTTTGAAATGGTACAGTTATGTTTTATTGATAAGTCCTATATCCTGATAATTTGAAAAGAACTTCTTAAGAAATAAAGATAAATATTATATTATTACACAATGATCAAGACTCTTATGACCCTGTGCGCAATTGTCAGCAATTTTATGCAATTATTGCAAGTCGCCGCGTCCGTCGAGCAGATTTCAATCTTGTGTTTAACATTGAGAGTTCAATTTCATTTTGTATATTTATAATGTATTGTGTAGGTAGGTCGTGGTGAGTGATAGCAGTTTGTCCACGCAACGGCCGTGTAATGTATCGGTATTTGTTTACGGGTCGAATAAAATGATTTTTGGACCTCCCCGTAACCTCACTCACATGACGAGTCTCACTTCGGTCGAGCCAGCAAATTCGTGCCGAAGAATCGCTCTGCCTCTGCCACACTTGAAAGAGATGTTTTCATAATATTTATCGTGAGACATACTGAATTATCTAAAAATGACGAGTTATAAACGTAAATATACTAAGAAAAGCTCTACTAGTTTCGAATCACAGAAGGACTCTTCCTTATGAGCAGCATGCGCTACCGCGCATCTCAATATATTGCGTTGACTGTAAGTAGTATTAGCCTTGCAACAAGCGGGTATTAAACCCGGTGTGTGTTATGTATTGGAGTAGCTTTTACCCGCGGCTTAGCTCGCGTCACACAAGCATAAAAAGTAGCCTATGTGACATATACCAATACACACAGCGCCATCTATACCAATACTTTTTTTTCCCTCACAAATATCAATTTTTCCTGGATAAAAAGTACCCTATTATTTAATCTGGACTTCTAACTTTACGTCTGCAAAAAATCAAAGCAATCGGTTTAGTAGTTACGGCTTGAAAGCAGAACAAACAAACAAACAAGCTCACTTTCCGATTTATAATATTAGTGAGGATGATACAGAGATTAATACAGAGATGCGCATATGAGACCTGCTTCTCGCCAGTGACTAGAAAGTTAATAGCTATTTGGTGGGAACGTGACGTTTGGCATTTGACACCATGAAGTGAGGGAGAGCCATGCTTCGGCACGAATGGGCCCACTCGACCGGTGTGATACTACTGCCTCACAGAAAACCGACGTGAAGCAACGCTTGCGTTGTGTTTCGTCGGATGAGTAATGTTACCGGAGGCCCAATTATCCCCTCCCCTTCCCCAATCGCGACACGTTGATTCCCGCACACGCCGTGCAACGTGTCGCGGGTTCGATTCCCGCACGGAACAACATTTTGTGTGATCCACAAATTGTTGTTTCGGGTCTGGGTGTCATGTGTATGTGAACTTGTATGTTTGTAAACGCACCCACGACACAGGAGAAAATCCTAGTGTGGGGCAAAGCTTTATTAAAAAAAAAAATCTCCCCAATCTCCGAAGCTCCAACGATCCTCAAGCTCCTAATCCTCAAAAGGCCGGTGACGCACTTGTAACACTTCTGGTATTCCATCCATGGGCGACGCTGATTGCTTACCATCAGGTGATCCGTCTGCTCGTTTACCGGCTTATGCCATAAAAAAAACCTATGATTTTGATGATTTTTGTTTTCAGATGTTGTTATAGAGGCGAAGAATCCGATGTTGAAGAAGGCGGTGATCATCAACACCATGGTGAACCTGCACCTGTTCTGCGCTCGCGACTGGAGCATCATCATCGTGGACGGTGACAAGGTCACCTCCACCAACCCCTTACTCAAGTTACCGTTAAGATCCAGCTTCAAGATATGGAACACCCAAGTTAATCTCAAGGTATACCTATCACCATTTCATCACCAGCCTATAAATGTCCCACTGCGGACAAAATGCCTCTTCTGGCATGGAGAAGGAATAAGCATTATTATTCGTCACGCTTAGGTACTTATTTAAGTCCAGGTTTATTTCGCCGCACGACAGTTGTGTCTAAAATTTTAAAAAGTCACAGTTATACTTAGTCAGGTTTCGGATCTGCAACCTCATGTTTGTACATACATCTATATCAGTATACTACTTCTTCCGCGCGGTTTCACACGCTTTGCTCAGCTCCTATTGGTCGCAGCGTGATATTTTATAGCCTATAGCCGACCTCGATAAATGCGCTATCCAACACAAAAAGAATTATTCAAATCAGACTTGTAGTCACGGAGATTAGCGCGTTCAAACAAACAAAAAAAACAAACTCTTCCGCTTTATATAATAGTATAAGATATCAGTATATTACTCTTAACTGATTTCAAAATGGAGATTTTATTTCATTAGCTTACCTGTAACCGCATACATGTTTAAGGAATATTTGTTTGATCGATACGCAATAGTGACCATTTATTCACATTTCCTAATTTGAAGAAACATTTTGTCTGCAGTCTGCACGGTTGGTGCAGGGGCTGAATGACCGACTGGTTTCAATTCCCCCACGAAGCAATTATTAGAATAATCCACATCGTTCCAATTATGGGTGTTATGTATATTATGTGAAATTATTGTTAACGCATCCACGACATAGAAGAAATCGTAGTATGAGGCAACGATTTATTTTAATGTATTTAAAGAATAAATCGACTGCACGGTTGATGCGTAGGCTGGGCAACCGGCTGCCGTGCAACGTGTCGCGGGTTAAATTCCCGCACGGAACAGCATTTTGTGTGATCCACAAATTATTGTTTCGGGTCTGGGTGTCATTGTGTATGTGAACTTGTGTGTTTAAACGCACCCACGACACAGGAGAAAATCCTAATGTGGGGCAATGTTGTATTAAAAAAAAATAAAAATAAAATTTAACCTTTTTTTTCCAGGAAAATCTGGACAGATTTGAAGAAGTATACAAATGGATGTATCCGCAGGAAACATTTGACAAAAATTACTTCACTGCTAACTCCGACAGTGCTGTGGATGTGATAGAGAAGTCTATTCTTCTGGATTCCTTTCTAGAAGATATTCTTCTTCGACGGGAAGATCTGAATTCTTCTTATGAGGTAAGCAAACCATATAATAGTTGAGTAAACGGGGTATGATGACTCAGAACCCTCCGTATTGCTTCGCCGTAATCAGTTTAAAAATAAACATCCATGTAGTCCGTCAAATAACATGATGAAGAAGTACAAGCCATGTATTTATTTCCATATTAATAGATACTGCTTAAATAAAGCAGTTTAGTTAGCCTGACTTTATTGTTTATTACTTCTATGTACATTTTATAGTCACAAATGGAGTCATGCGATAATATAATAATATGTCGCATCGCAGAGTATCGAAAAAATTTACAATTTTCCAACATTTTAATTAATTTAATTATACCCTTAAACGTAGTAAAACTTTCCACACAAGATAATTATGTCAGAACAACAACTGTATTACTACTGTACCTGTTGTGTATCCTGGATTGCATATCTATATATTTCTTACTATAGGTCCACTGCGGATTCGTTCAGGGTGCTTACTCTTGAAACCAATCTCAATGTCAATGCAATTTCAATCCAATAAAATCTCAATAATTATCCAATGTCAAAATTATACAACCCCAACCGTAGCTGTTAAAATAGCTTACAGAGTACGGAGTTTAGAGCCAAACTCAATACCATTTAGTTCATTCAATATCCACACAATACGGATGCAATGGGCGCTAGTGTTGCAACTCAAGAGTACGAAATTTCACAATACCAATGTCGATCGATTGGAATTGGATTCAAGAGTAAGCCCACAGGTCATTTGACAGTGTTTTTTCCAATACCATTTCATAATAAATTGTAAATGTGTAACCATTTCAGAAATACCAAAGAGAGGTTGTAATGCCACCACCAAAGAGTACGTCACTAATGCCCTCGATACTGCCTACCTTCAACACTCCCAACACAACCATCACGCCGGTGCTAGGCCCGGCGCCGCCGCCCCCGCCCCCCGCTCCGACGCCTACCGTTACTATAACCAAGAAGAACAAAGACGCTACCGGGACTAAAATAAAACGATCGAAAACAAGAATCGACGCAGAGACCGCTAACAAACCGTACGAACCTGTACTACCAATAACTACCAGTATCACCAAAGTTATCGGTGAAACATCGAAAACTTATGACGCGTTCGACCGCAATGAAGACTTCAGTATTGAAAATTATAAAAGAAAAAATAAGGACAGTGCAGACGTAAACAAAGACAAACCAATTCAAATAATAGAGATTGACAATCGTTGCGACATGAAATCCGGTTACGAACCGGGTGCCGAGTCGAAATCAACGGATAAGTTGGAAGAAATGGATACGCTTGTATTTGGACACGACACTTTCATTAGCAAGGTGTCGGATCACTACAAGCCCGGGCACACGTCTTCTGATAAAAAGGAGACGGAACCGCACACCATACTCACGTGCAAACCAATAGGAGAGCAAGGTACTCACAAAGTATATCCAGACAACAAGAAATGTAGCAGTACAGTCACTTCAAGCTCTAGAAAACTTTACGAAGCATCCCACAGTGACCCCGAGAGAGATAAAAAGAATGATAGGACAAGTTTGTCGACACGAGATGTAGACAATGCTAGAGTGAACCTCGAGGAGCTGAATAAAGAAATGAGGGATCTCGGCACTAGAGATAATTCCGACAAAATTGCTAAAAGACAAAAAACAGATAATGCGCCCAAAACTGTACTAACATTTGAACAATATAAAGCGAAATCAAGTTTATCAATCAAACAAGCCAGTGGTTCTGGCACTAAGGGCACAGAACAAGTCACAAATAGTCTTAAACGTAATAATATAGATGATAAGTTGAAAGAATGTGAAGAGAAGGTCTCTAAGAAATTCAAGGGATCTTTTTTAGATAGTCTGTTTTGAATGTGTGTGAAGCTAAGCTAAGTTTGTGTTAGGTCGTAACAATAAATGTTTTTAAGAGCCTGTATGTACGCTTGTCTCATTCCGCCTATCCTCAACTTAACGTATCGTAACTATATTGTAAATTATTACAATAATAATATAAGAAATCTTCATTGTTTTTTGTGTTCATTCGTCTGCCTCATAGTTAGCACGATCGCTGTCAAAGTATTTTCTTTTTATATCTAATTTCAGAATAATAAGTAAAGTCTGCCTCGTTGGCCGAGTGGTCGCAAGTGCGACTACCGGGCAAGGGGTCTCGGGTTCGATTCCCGGGTCGAGCAAAGTATTACTGGGTTTTTAAAAAATCCTCACGGAGTCTGGAATTGTGCCCGGTATATGGCAAAAGGCTCACCTCCTATTACTTCTGTGTGCACCTCTGTTTACCCCTTCGGGGATAAAAGGCGTGATGTTATGTTATGTTTACTAAAGTGTTAAATAGGTGTGCACTAGGACAAAATAATTTACAACTGCATGTAATTATTGCATTTTATAATAAGCCTAGCATGATTCGAATTTGCAAAATATTTTAATACTAAAATATTGTCAGCAGCTTTCATATAAATACCATTGAAACCTTCTTTCAGACCCCACAGAATTACCAAAAAATGTTTTCAGAAACCCATCAGCAAATATATTACTATCTATGCAGGTAGTGTTCTACAGAGAAGCATTAAAATTCATTTTGAATTTTAGTAAATCTATGAGTTTTAAATACCCATAAAATAGAGTACACCTCTGTATTTTTTTTTAAGGGGGGAAAATCATCGAATGACTGCTTCCGCCTGGGTGAGGCGGGAGGGAGTGTCAGACTCTTACTGACTAAAAACCACCCCGTTCCTTCTCCTGCACGGCGAGCCGGAGCCCCGGTTACCCGTTAGGACACCTCTGTATTAAATTCCTCACATTCATCCTTATTGAGGTGTCTATATAGTTGTAAAAACAATAAAAAAGTGAACTTTAATGCGTTAATAAAACAATCGTATCAAAACATCAACGTATTTATTTCTTATAATATAATAATATCTTCGTATGTGTAAAGGTAAATAGAGATACATAATTATATGGGATATACAACAACAATTCACAATAAGTAGGTATATTATATTTTTCAGGATCACCATTTATCAATCCAATATATTTCGATTGAAATCGAACGTTGTTTACGACATGTCGACCTTTTACAGATTCATTAACAGTAAATATTTTTATTATTAAAATACAATAAGTTTATTTGTTGATTATATATTTTACTAGTCACAATTTGTATTTTTTTAGTAGATAGATAAACGGTATAAAATGTATAAATAGTATTGCCTGCCTCTGATATACGATGAGTGTCGCTGGTGAAAACAAAAGCGCGGACGCTCGCCGTCGTCTGCCTGTTATTATTATTTTAAATATACATCTTCCTTTCAATTGCAATTTATATTTTAAGTTCTAACCGATTAAAAATAATAACGAGGTATACCTAGTTTAAAATCTAAATTAATATACAAAATTTATTGAACTGTAAAATTGCATCAATATAATACGAATAAGCCGCTAGATTTCCGAATAAACCTGTGGCTAATTTAGGCACATTGTTCACGCTTAACGTTGGGTTTTGACAGCAAATAGTATATTTTTAACAAAGTAAACGTTTAAACAATTTTATAAGCAAACTTTCCATTATTAATTTTCTATATATATAATTCATTATAAAAAAAAACATTAAAAAATATAATAAGCAGTAGCCTACCAATAACGGGAGAAATTCAAGCTACCGGCGGTCAGGGCTCCAGAGAGAGGAATTTCCGGACAATACGCGCCGTGTCCAGAAGTACAGCTTCCTGCATCAGGCCCTTAAGCTTAACTCAACCATCTAACGCTAGCCTATTCAGGTTTTGGTCTAGGGTTTTAGCAATAAGGCCATTGGCAGATACGACTATTAGCAAACTTATTATTAGTTTGAGGCTAGGCCAGATTAATTAGATAAAAAAAATATTTACCAGTACATAAATCATATTAGAGAATCTCTGTCAAGAATTTACTTGACAGAGATGCGCCAACCGTTCAGTTAACAATAACTTAGTACTCAGTAAAACCTGGTTCTGACCTTCGAGTGACCACATAAAGGTTATTCTGAAAGCTACCAGTACATATTTTTATACTTTTAAATAACTACTTAGGTATCTCTGATAGTGGTGACAGTGTGAGCCACATATGGACCTTTCTTTCATGCTGGCCTGCTGGGGTACAATTAGCTTAACCTGTATTTTTGTGCGTTGGTGATTAGATAGTAACGGTACACAAGATTGTTTATTAATTAGGTAATTGTAAAATTAACACGAAATCTATCTGTTCAATCTCCACGTATACATTAAATCAATAGATGTTAATCTGAAAGGAACATCCACTAAATTTTTATTTTAATCGAACGAACTTCATAATCAGCATAAATCATATTAAATATAGTACCTACATTACGTGGCGACAAATATTGCATATACGTATAGAAATAGACCATCGCACAGTGTGGTATTTGAACGATCTGGGAGGCAATAAGTCCATTTTACAAAACTTAATGTGGGTAGAAGTATAAAGTATCTCGTAAATGTTTACTTACCAATGCACCTCAAACTGTCATTATTTTCATCTTAGTTGCAAAAATTTACTTGTGTGGTCAGTCGGAATTTCGTTGTCATCTAAGATATATTTTTCTTGTGTTTTATTAAAAAAAATCGTTTACTTATAATAGTCAATTATTTTGTTTTGGATTATAATTTCAAGTGAAGTGATATGTATTATTTTATGGCAGGTTAGTGTCTACACTTAACAAATATTTTTAACAGGGTCGATTACTTTATGACTGTTGGACAATATTATTTACGTAACCCTTTTACAATATCATAATTTGCATATATTTTGAAATATCGAGGATAGTAAGTAATACTTCCCGGGGTTTCCCGGCAAAATAAAAGAATGTACAACAAACTTTGATCATTGACGTATAAGATTTCGTTTAAAACGGTCACGGAATCACTTGATTTTTGGAAAACAGGGTGTCCAAACTTTTTAATGTGAAAATGTTATTTATTTCATACATATTATTTTTTGTATCTTTAGAAAATTTATTTATTGTAGGGCCGTCCAATGTCAAAATCATGACTCGATTGGAGTTATATGAGTTGATGCAGCGACAAAATTTGCCGAATATCAATGAAAAATTGGATTTCATCGAAAATTATCTCATTGGTTATGATGATTACACTGCTGACCAAATTAAGGATATTAAGCAAAATTTCTCACGCTTCAAGTCCGAAATGAAATCTAGATGGGCTGCGGCATATAATAAAGAGCAAATTTTCATTAAAAGGAATCAAGATTGGTTGAGAGGTACATTTACGATTCCAAAAGTAACTAGCCGGCCGGGGCGTCCGAAAAAATTATTCGAAGAATCAGGTGAAAGAAGCAAAAGGCAAAAAACTGAGGTGAGGCAAAAAACTAAAGTGATTTTAGAAACAATATCAAGTGGGCATAAAATCAATTTGGAGAAATTTGATAGCTACACAAAGAAAACAGCAGAACTGTATGTGCAGCTTTATTCATGGTGTCCTATGACCCCATAAATTATTGATCCATGGTCCTGATGTAATTAAGCGCGCTTTACTTCCAATCGGGCAACTGTCAGAAGAGGCTGCGGAGGCACGCAATAGACACTTTCGTTTATTTCGTCAAAACTTTTCGAGAAAATTCTCAAGGATGTCTTGCAATCAAGATGTGCTCAACAGGTTACTGCTGACTTCCGATCCTGTAATAACAGGAATGAGGAATATTTCAAGAAAGAAGAGTAAACCATTCTTAAAAGAAACCCTAGAGATGTTGCTTCCGATGGAATCTTATGCAGAATCTCACGGTGGTAATGAGGCATCAGAGTCGGATAGTGAGGGAACTGCTGATGATTCTGAGTTGTGTCATGAAGATAACTCATTTTCTGACTGATCTGTGTCAAAACATTTAAGGAAAATGCAATTATTTCTGTTTAAAATATTTTTGTAGATTAAATATTGAGAATTTGTTAATTGTAATTAAATATTTTAATTTTTTTTTTTTAAATATTACCTTTTTCATTATTATTTATTATTTACTTTGTAATAAAAAACAATACTACATGCTAACATAATATCATAGTTACAACCTCTTTAGCCGCCAAAATAATTTTTGCCTCCCAGATCGTTCAAATACCACACTGTGCATCGGCCAAGTCGCCGTGTATGATGCTCATGATTATGTAAACTAGTCGAGCACTCTCTTTGAATTATGATTAGAAAAAGTTTTATACAAATAAATAATCGTCATATCACACAAAATCGTCTCCTTCCAAAAGTCTAATGTTTATATAGCCGATTTAAATTACGAAGCTATTTTTACGATTACAAATGCGATTATAAGTAATTTTAATATACATAAAATGTTAAAATAATAATTTAATGGGAATCTATAACATGGGTAAATACCTAACAAGATGTATAACCACCTGAACATCAGTAACAATCATCATATAAATTGCCTATTAGTCGTAAATTTCACGGATACGCTGTTCAGTACAATTGATTTTATTTCCTTGAAATTTTACTATGTAAACGATTTTACACAAATAAAGTATTACGTATATAATATACAATAAAATACTTAAATAAAAAAATATATAAAAATAAGCCATTATGTTTACACAATTTTACATACAATAATGTTTGCACAACCGTTTTGTGTACACGGTAAATAATTGTATAATTTTCCTGGTTTTATATTATAAAAACGTACTAATGGAATGTTCTAAAATAGCTTGGATTATAATTAGCAATAGTTTAGTATTATTGAGGCGGGCTATCATAACCGCTTGGCTATACTGTAACTGTCAATTCTAACTTTCGAAGTGAGCTCCGCATTCTCGCTCATCATTGGTCGAGATTATTCTCACAACCAATGACGTGGCGGACCGCGATCGAGTACACTTCGATCTTTCGAATTGAGTTACAGAAAAACTGTTAGAAATACCATTCCTATTTAAATTATTATTGTAGGTTTTATTATATTAAAAATTAAATGAATTCACCCACTTTGCCATCAAGGGATAGTGATGTGCATAACAATATTTGTCAAACAAAGCAGCAAAATGAAATCCGAGCAATTTATTGTACTTTTTAATGATATAGAGAGCCATAAAAATCGGAAAAAGTTCCTACATCATTAATTTTCGGACGGTGTAAATATAAAATGTAATAAAAATTGCATACTTAAACAAATTAATATTAAACTTATTGCATTTTACAGTCGGAATGATGAATAAATATGGATATTTTTAATGTTCGTCTAGTAGTGGACACTACTCTTTTTTCTATTTTATGTAGAAGATACCTATATTTTTATATTTTGATTTAAAATATCGGTTATAGTTACGTTTTATAACGGACTAAAACGTTTTATATTTTCGAACTTTCTGTTCTCTGACGTCATTCCTAAACAAGTTAGTTACTGTGTAGGAGCACCTGTCGAGAACAACAAAAATCTAATTAACTCGTCGAGTACCGGTTTTGTAGACACAATTATAGAACAATAGTTTGCGGTCACCGGTGACCGCTTGGTGTTTGACAGTTTAATTACTTAATAAGGCTTACTTACAAAATAAATAATATTGCCATTTACCTATACAAATATATAATTAAAGAATATAACATAGACAATGTATGTACATACAAATTTTTTCTTAAAAATAATAGTCACTTCGATAAAATGGAATGTGGAACGCTTGAAAAAGGTAAAAAAAATGTCTTTATATAAAATATGTACATATTTTTTTAATAAAAGTTAAAAATAACCACTGATTAATTTATAAATGGAATTAAAATTGGAGGCCAATCTGTAGGTAGCAATGCATTTTACAATTTTTTTTTTTTGGTAGTGATACCATTGTTTGTTTTCAGTTATTTGGGTTATCAGTTTTTTTTTTTACAATTTATTTCTTTGTAAAACCATTGTATTACCGAGACAAAGCCATTTAACCTACTTCGGGACAATACGACATAATTTCACGGTGTATATGTAACTAGGTATGGTTTATATAATTCTGTTATGGTATGCAATTATGCATTTTATAAATGTTGAATTTATAAAATTGATTTCGCGCTAACCAGGATTCGATATCGTTTTCTATATTTCTGCAATCTAATAACAGTTATCGATACCAAACTGTAAACTGTAAATTTCAATTGCAAACCGGTACAAAATATAAAACATAGGTAATCGACTTAAATATGGTAAACATTGAATACTTATTCAAAAATTCAACTCAGATGCTATAAAACTTGGTAATTAGGAAGTTGACAGGGTATGAAAATTAAAAATCTAATTAGTCCGTAAGTTAGGTAATGAAAAAATATTAGACAGGTATTTTTTATTTTGTCGCATAAAAAAACAATACTTAGTTAAAACGAATCAAAGTGTAGGAGTGGGGCCTAAAACGTCATTTCTACGTATAAAATGTACAAAGAAGTGACGTCACGCGACATTTCAAATCAATATATCGTCGAAAGTATTCGTTTCTGTAAGAAAATAAAAAATACGTGTCTAATGATTTAAAATAATCTAGGCATCTAGGCTGTTGCGGTAATGTTAGAAGAAAAAAATAGGTAGCTAACCTGTTTTTTAAATAAAAACTTTATAAATTACATAAATAGGTATTAAGATGCTTTGAATAAAATATACTTAATTATAATCTTATCAAACCTCTACTGCGAGTGAAGATCAGTCTGAAGTTATGAACAATTGTTTTTTTTCTTTAAAGTTAAACAATAAAGGAAGACGGTGTAGTATAACATTACTTTTCCAAACATTTAATTGTAACTATAGTACTAACACAATTAAGAAACAAATAGTTTATATACGTACAATACATAGATTAAAATATGGCATAAATATGTTTATAATTTCATTTTAGGTACATCGATTTCGCATTGACATTATTAGGAACGAGTTATTTGTTACCGTCGCTACTTCGGTTTGATGTGGAGGTACTCTGCCACAAATACTCTGAATATTTTGTTCAAGTTCTCTATAGTGTTGAAATCAAGAGCGGAATGATCGTCGCCAGGGGTGTGCCACACGCTGGGGAACGGAGACGGGATCACGTGCAGAATATCCACATCTAGAACAAAACGAGAACAATAAAAAAATATATAAACTAGGTACGTTTAAAAATACTAAATACTTCTCTTATATGCAACAAATACTTTTCGAAAAACCGCATCAATCCGCCGCAAAATCGGTTCAGCCATAACATCACGCCTTTTATCCCCGAAGGGGTAGGCGAGGTGTACATTATGCCACTGTACCTCTACAATGTAACACCCACTTTTCACTATTTATGTTACGAGTCCCATGTAATAGGGAGTGAGCCTATTGCCATATACCGGGCACAATTCCAGACTCCGTGCTACTACTGAGATTTTTTTTAAAAACCCAGTACCTATTACTTTGCCCGACCCGGGAATCGAACCCGAAACCCCTTGCCCGGCAGTCGCACTTGCGACCACTCGGCCAAAGAGGCAGTCATCGCGAGATAGTCGCGCACAAATATACATACATACAGGTTAAACTGAGAACCTCCATTTTTTCTTTTTACAGTCGGTTAAAAATACATTATCCCAGAGCCGTATTATCTCTAAGGCAAACTAGGAAAGTGCCTAGGCCGTCAGGTTACTGAAGGGCGAGTAAAAGCTACGCAACTAAATGATAGCTTTAGCCCGACCCAGTAATAGAATCCTAGACCACTCAGTACTCCAGCAACAAGGCATTATGTGTTTTGCTTAATATTCATTAGTTTCGGCCTTGTTACTACTACGTACAATCAGCCATTTACTTTTAGCCCACGAGTTACTTTCAAGGCTAACAAATAATACCTATAAATATCACAATAGAGTAACATCTAGTAAATTATGAATGTATAGTAGCTACCTATTGTCACATCATAACATAATATACCTTTTTATCCCTGAAAGGGTAGGCAGAGGTGCACATTTTAGCGTACAATGTAACACCCACTTTTCACTATTTATTTTATGAGTCCCATGTAATAGGGGGTGACTACTGCCATATACCGGGCACAATGCCAGACTCCGTGCTACTACTGAGAATATTTGATAAAACCCAGTAATACTTTGCCCGACCCGGGAATCGAACCTGAGACCCCTTGCCCGGCAGTCGCACTTGCGACCACTCGGCCAACGAGGCAGTAGCTACCTATAGTATTCCGAACTAAAGAAACCTACCCATATACATTTCAAAAGTGCTATAAAAATAATACTTGGTTGTTCGATCATGTTCGGAACACATGTAGGTATTAACCACCATTAAATGTGAAATGTCGTGGTGGCCCGGAGCTTTAAAACGCTCGCTTCCCATGCATGAAGGTGCGGGTTCGAATCCTACCAACGGTAAGTACCAATGTGACTTTTCCGAGTTATATGTACTTTCTAAGATTATCTAGAAAACATCGTGAGGAAACTTGGGCTTATAATTTCTTATAAGTTTGTTATCCCCAACCCGCAATGAGCATTAATTATAACCATGACCATTAACCTAAGTTATATTTTGTTCAAAACTTGTGGCACCGACTTCTTACCTATCAGTGGGTGGGTAGCCTATAAGTACACGTACTTATAGGCTACCCACCTATGACTAATAATAGTTATTTTTCCTTTTACCTTTTGCTTTTGTTTTGACCTATTGCTTGTTTTTAGGTTTAGGTTTTTGAAGTCGGTTTTTTTAAATGCAGTTTTTGTTTTTTATAAAACCAATACACTCGAACCCTGTGGGGTCTGAACCTCGGCTCAGCAGGGTCATTGAGCTGCCTTAAGGCCGCGAGTAAAGAGAGGCTGCTTAAAATTATGTACGTATACAGACAGCTTGAGATATTTATCTATTTATGCACAACACAGACCGTACACATTATAGATGAGAGGTACACAGGTGCTGTATATAAATAATAACAATCTAGACACTATGTGTTACTAAGTACCTAAATGAAAAAACAAATAAAACAAAGCTTAAATCTAGACCTATACCTAAAATTACAAGTCTTTTAAAAATGAATGTTGAGGACTTTGAATCACGTATGTTAGGCGGAGTCAAGTCTCACCGCATGAACAGTGTACGAATAAGATTTAAGATGAGATCGGGAAAGGGCCTCAGGAGGGAACGGAGGAAACGTTCGCGGAGGAAAGGACATTATAATGTAACCGTTTACGAAGGCCGGCTTTCGCATTTACGTACGTCATTCATACCACATTTTTTATGTATATAAAATTATGTTATCATATTGATGAATGGATTTTACATGTCAACTGAAATTCTCAAAATTGATAAGATATTATTGATAAGCACTGATATTTATTTGTAGTACCTATCTAAGTTTATTTCCAGCTAATTTTGATTTAGGGTTCAGACCACAGGACACATAAAGAAGTGTTGCGACCCTCGTGTCATACCGTATTATTGGGTTTTTTTGGTTATTTTGAAACTATCAGTAGTAAAACGGAGTCGGAAATCTGCCCGATTGTAAGACTCACACCATGCGATTATTTGTAATTTTGGTATTTTTCTACAAAACTTACAAGCAAGAAATATTTTAATCACAGAACAACATTATCATTTTCTGTTTATACATAATATTGCATTTCGGCAATGGAATTACTTTTGTATTGAACATAAATTACAAATATCGTCATTTCCATTTCTTTGTAAAAGCTTATTAATTATTTAAAACAAATGGTAACTTACTTCTCCTCATGAAGGGTATGTGGTCGTCTTCTATGACGGATCCAGAGCTCCTGAGCCTGAAGTAGGTCTGTTCTGCCTTTCCCTTGGAGTAGGACTGGAACTGATCGAGTTCAGCTAATCTTTGCTCCGCAACAGCCAGACGGACGTACCACTTCTCCGTCGACTGGAAGTAACTGTAGAACACTGGGTCTGGACAGCCAATGAGATCCAGGAGCACCATCACGTCCTGCACAGATAATACAAAAATAAATTAGTAGAAAGTAACTGTAGATATAGTATTATAGGGAGAGGCGGGGCGCGTGAAGCAGCGAAGCGCTGCCTCCTCACAACCCAGCCGTCGCGAAAGATACTCCGGGCGTCTCGGACCGCGGGGCGATCGCCGGCAGTCCGGCTACCGTAAGCACGGGCCTGCGGACGGTGAGCATGCGTAGCTGGCCGCCCGACCAGAACCAGACCCGAGCATACGGCGCATCGCGTACCGTGCAGGAGTAGGAACGGGATGGTTTTTAATCAGTAACAATCTGACACTCCCGCCTCACCTAGGTGGGAGATGATATTCGACGATTTTCCTCTCTTAAAAAAACAAAAATGCCATAGTATTAGGTTTTATTTCAGTATTACATTGATGACATCAATGTACCTACTACGCGTTGTTGAAACAGTCACAAGCAAGGACCGATTTTCTAAATTATAGGTAGTTACCGGCCACAATTTAGACTCCGCCGTAATACGGCGGAGTTCATAATACATAGTAGGTTCACTACAAATGTCAAAACTTGCGATAGGGATGACAAGCACTATAGATCGAGAGCCCGCGGCTCCCAGACCAACCTCATTTTACAAAACCTGATTTTTCTCTACACGTAGGTACTTCTAACATAGGTAAGGACGATGGACTAATGGAATTCGGGTGGTGGTTCCTTCGACAGATAATAGGTCAACGAGGTGTGTAAAATCATACCTCCATAGTACCTCAAATTCCGTAAAGTATAAACCTTGTTTTATAGAGATGTTTAATCTAAGTATTGTTTTGTTTATTGTTTTGTGTAAGTATTGGACTGCTTCGTTCCCCGAGTGGTCGCAAGTGCGACTGCCGGGCAAAGGGTCTTGGGTTCGATTCCTAGGTCCGGCAAAGAATTACTGGATTTAAAAAAAATCTCAATTGTAGCACGGAGTTTGGAATTGTGCCCGGTATATGACAATAGTCACCCCCTGTTACATGGGACTCATAACATAAATAGTAAAAAGTGAGTGTTACATTGTAGTGGCATTAAATGCCGTAATGTGCACCTATGCCTACCCCTTCGAGGATAAAAAGGCATGATGTTATGTTATGTTTTCTAATCTAACTGACCGACTAAATAGATTTTTAATCTTCATACCCTTCTTTCCTATGGCTATTGGTCATTTTTGTACTGATAAACCTAACATAACATCACGTCTTTTATCCCCGAAGGGGTAGGCAAAGGCGCACATTATGGCATTTAACTCGTCGAAAGTATTATTTGGGGTACCACAGGGTAGCGTACTAGGCCCTTTAATGTTCATTTTATATATAAATATATAAATGATCTACCAAAATCTATTGACCAACCAATAACACTCTTTGCAGATGATAGTACGATTACAATTCCTTGTAAAAATATAGTTACGTACGAGAGAGATATTAACAATAGTTTAAAACAAATAGTAGACTGGCTAGATGCAAATAATTTGAAGATAAATTTAAATAAGACGAAATTTATCCAATTTAGACAACAGACTGCTAGTTTAAATTTGAAATTACATAACAACAATAATACTATAGAAGAAGTTGATAGTACAAAGTTTTTAGGTTTGCAAATAGATCAACAGTTGAATTGGAAATCACAAGTGGATAGTTTATGTAAGAGAATAAGTAAGTCTGCATATGCATTACATAGATTATCAACTATAGTCAACAGAAATGCACTTCTTACTGCCTACTATGGAACTGTAGAATCACATTTGAGGTATGGGATTATATTTTGGGGAAACTCTACTGAAAGAGAAACCGCTTTCAAAGCACAAAAAAGTGCTTACGAGCGATGTTTAAGCTAAAATCTACAGATAGTTGTGAACCATACTTTATAAATTACAAAATATTGACGTTGCCTAGTTTGTATATCCTGGAAGTAGCTGTGTTCGTGAAGACAAACCCTAGTCGTTTTAAATGCATGGCCGATGTATTTCCCCGCAACAGACGCGATAATAGTCTGCTATGTAAAGAGCCAGCTAAGACAGCACTTATGCGCAAGAGTGTCTACTGCATGGCTTCAGTTATTTATTATAGGATACCTAAGGGTTGGAAGGAGTTTCCGCTACATTTATTTAAAAAAGATTCCGAAGCTTTTTAGTGGCTAAAGCATATTATAGTTTGCCTGAGTATCTGAATGAGAAGGAATTTTTTTTGTAAGTGCTTGAATTGAAAACTGTGTTCCTAATTTATGGTCTTTTTTTTTGTTTATGTTTTTTCTTTTTATTGGATTGTTTGTCTTCGATTGTAACATATTATCCAATGCATTTTACTATGTATATCATTTGCATGCTTAAATGGTAAAATATGGTTGAACATGTATTTTTATGTCACCTATAATTGTTACCCATATTTGCAAAATAAAAGTATCTTTATCTTTATCGAGTATAGGTAGGTAAATGATTTTTTTTTTAATATGAAAATGTATTGTTATCTGTCGCCGTCGTGTAGATAGAGGTAAAATGTAGAGATATAATGTCACTTCTAGAAAAAAGGTAAGTACTTAATTATCATTAAGTCCTTGGTCGTCGACTTTCCCCTTTCATTAAGTAAAGTACGCGCGTTAAATTTCAAACGACTACCTACTCTAACTACTTAGTGCTTGGGTACTTTATTATTAGCTTCGAATGACTAGGGACAGTACAAAAACAAGGATCGATATACAAAATTAGTCTTTAAATCCTTATCAGTTAATTAGGTTAATTTACTATGTGTCTTTCCATATATTTATTTAAAATTCTCTATAAATTACATTTTTAAATTGTACTTACAAAATACAAAATAATATTTAAAAATATAAAAAATAGGAGACGACTAGTAGCGGGAGCATGGTCCAAGCTACCGGTGGTTAGGGCTCCAGAGACAGAAACCTCCTCACGATACGTGCCGTTTCTAGAACTGCCTTCTGTATCAGGCCCTTGATCCATCCACCTAACGCCATTCTCCTGAGATGGATGTCGAGGCTTTTAGGAATTAACCCATTGGCCAACACGACTATCGGCACAATTATAGCCGAGTCCACACTCCACATGTCGACAACCTCGTGAGCTAAGTCTAGATATTTTATTTGTTAATCTTTCTCAGCTTTCAAGAGGTTTTCGTCATGGGGACTATGTATATTATTATTATGCTGACTGCCTCGTTGGCCGAGTGCAAGTACGACTGCTGGGCAAGGGGCCTCGAGTTCGATTCCCGGGTAGGGCAAAGTATTCCTGGTTTTTTTTAAATTCTCACTAGTAGCACGTAGTCTGATATTGTGTCCGGCATATGGCAATAGGCTCACCCCCTATTACCTGCGTACCCCATCGGGTATAAAAGGCGTGATGTTACGTTACGAAGCTGTTTTCAATTAAGTAATTACAGATTATCTCTATACCCATACATAAGAAATTGCGCAGCCTATACACAACAACAAATTTTTTAATCATTATTTTCGGAATTTCATCTGACGAAACGGATCGGTTTATCAGAAAATAAGAAGTAATGATAATAAAATTGAATTGTCTATCTCCTAACCATGAAATTTTTAGCCATGAAGAAATTATTGTACGAGATTCTCGGATCAATATTGTCCCTGAACTGACGCGGCAGCCGGTAGCAGCGTTTTCTGAACCTTCCTTTCCTTCTAAAATGCAATCTACAACTGTGTGCCAAGCGTGGAGATTGTAGGAAGCTCCACTTTAGTACAGGAGTTAGGTACTTTCTTTTAACATAACACAACATCACGCCTTTTATCCCCGAAAGGGCAGGCAGAGGTGCACATTACGGCACTTAATGCCACTGTAAGTACAATATAACACCCACTTTTCACTATGTAGGTTATGAGTCCCATGTAATAGGGGGTGAACCTTTTGCCATATACTGGGCACAATTCCAGACTCCGTGCTACTACTGAGACTTTATAAAAATCCCAGAAATACTTTGCCCGACCCGGGAATCGAACCCGAGACCCCTTGCCCGGCGTCGCACTCGCGATTACTCGGCCAACGAGGCAGTCAGCCAGTTATTATTTTAAGAGTAACGAATGCAGTTTCTTGCTCATTCTTGTCCATTTGAATCTACAATTTGGAATTCGCACCTAGCTTCACTGATTGTCAGGCAAACTGACTATTTTATACTTGTATCTATTTTATATTTGTTGACGTTTCGAAAGCGCGCGCCTCAAGTAGCCATCAGACCACCGCAGATGGGGCCCAATAGAGCTGATGCCGATGCGGAGCCACGGAGGGCTTAACGGGTTGCCGGGGCTCCGGCTCGAAGGGCAGGAGTAGGAACGGGGTGGTTTTTAATCAGTTAAGAGTCTGACACTCCCTCTCGCCTCGGAAAAGTCATTGGATGATTTCCCCCCATAAAAAAAAGACTACCACGTTTTCTTCTAGATCACGGTTGCCTAATATTATTATTTAAAATGGTTTTCCCACAAATGAATTTACTACGAAAGATTGAAGAGTAAACAAATGTTTAAGCAAGGAGGTCAAGTAGGCTATCAGCTCTGGAGCGTTGTAGGTACACATTGAAATTGATAGGACACGAATTAAAACTCTAAATTATTATGAAACTAATGATAACAGACTGCTTTCATAACTAAGTACCGTATAATAAATATAAATACAATTTTACAACTATACTTTTTAACGAAGTTCTTATTTCAATAGAAATACAGTGTGTAATGTAAACGCAACGCTCCCGAAAAACACCACAGGTGTTGTTAAAAAAAAAAACAAGTATTATTTTCATAAAAGAACAATTCTTCTTCACATTTAAACAAGTCACAATCCGGGTAGGCCTTCATGAGGGTGACAAACGTAGCAAGAACTGTATGACAAGGGCACGGACCTAGAGTCCGTGGAGAAATAATCTATAATATTATAAAAAAAAAATGTAGCAAGAATACTGAATTGGAGATTTCGCTCGTGCAACCGTGCAGGAAGTAGGTACTAATAAGAGCCGATGGTCTCTGTAGCGAAGATAGTTATCGGGCACGTATAGTCGTATCAACTCATTGTGAAGATCTGGACCATCAGTTAATCCACTACTCAAGTACTCACTTTAAGCATTATGCCTATTTAGTGAAACTCCCGCCTCGTCTCCGGAGTGTTACATCCAAGACATGACTGCACGGTTGGTGCGGTGGTTGGGCAACTGACTGCCGCACAACGTGTCGCGGGTTCGATTCCCGCAAGGATCAATTCTTTGTGTGATCCACAGATTGTTGTTCCGTGTCTGGGTGTAATGTATATGTGAACTTGTATGTTTGTAAACGCACCCACGATACAGGAGAAAATCCTAGTGTGAGGCAACAATTTTTAAAAAGAAAAAGCACTAAAAAGTCTAGTCCTGAATTCCGTTACATACGGAGAGGGCTTAGTAGCGAAACGAGACGCCGTTCGGAGCTCTGATTGGTTGGTTCATTGTAGCCGGCCAATTAGAGCGCCGAACGCGGTTTCGTTTCGATTACTTTAACGTAAAACTAACTCGTACTAAGCCACCAGCTACGGGTAGTAACCAAACAATTGTTTATATATAAATCGTAGGAATGCTTTTTGTATCTTTTCTAACAAAAGAGCATAAGGGGCCTCATGTGGATTCCACGCGCAACAGCTGACTTCGAGCTTGCTCCGAACAAGCGTATTGTATAATAGCCAAATGACATGGTCTTTATGGAAATCTCTTGCGTTTATTAAGTAAAATCGCGAGTTACTCACGTGAATATACTCGCGGTCGCCGCGACCGCGCGCGCTGCTCATGAGAAAGAACCCCTCTGTGGTTCGAAACTACTAGAGTTTTTCTCAGTATATTCACGTGAGTAACCCGCGATTTTACTTTATTTTGTATGTCTCACGATAGTTTCTAAATGATGACAATATGGTCATGAAATGCAAGTTTGCAATAACTTAATAAAATTAAATAGAACTGTTAAGACTGCAAGATACAATCCCTGCACTGCACTGCCGTCTTGAGTATTGGTGTCTCCGCTTTGTGAGATAGATTGAAAAGAGAAAATATGACATGAAACTATGAAAGTCTACATTTTAACATTTTCTGTCCTCAAAATTGTAAATCTAATTGTGCGTCTCAAGTCATCAACTGCAGTTGGTGCAATGGCTGATAGCTCCTTCCTTCGATTTCCCGATTAGAGTAGCCAGTAATTTGATATCATGTAGATATTGATTAATGAGGTTTTGAACATTTTTGACTTATAGAATAAAATAAACCTATTTGTAAACCTTTAACAAACTGCGCTCGATCTGTCAGTAGAATAAACATATCGGGCATTGACCCAATATTGTGTGCTCAAATCCTACATTGCATAATATTTAAACGAACACACAACTTGTCGAATTCCAGCTTCATGTGTTCTCTGTAGTTTCGGCTGTGCGTTGTCTGTGTGTCAATGTCATCCATGCAGTAACATAATTATTATATTGACGTATACCAAAAGAAAGTAAGTTTACTTACCATTCTCTGCAGTTCATTGGCCCCATCTTTGTATTCAGTGCCCTGCCATTTCTTCGCTAAATGTCGGGCCCCATAGATCGAGTCATTAGGACCCCATTGTCTAAATGCCTCTTCACCATCGAAGAAAATGAACATTATGCTTAAACGATTGTTTTTAAACGGCTCCAATTGTTCCGCCATTACTTTGGCCAAGTTTATCATCATAGTACATGGTACCGCAGAGTCCGTTGCACCTAAAATGAATAAAATAAATTATAGCTTAGAACCTGATTGGCTGGCAAAGAATGCCTAGTATTGGTATATAGGTAACCATGTTCCGATAGGAACTGGACGTAATTTTCACATGGGTGAAGCCGCGGGTGGAAAGCTAGTGCTTAACACATATTATATTAACTAAATAAATACGGACATGCCACGTTCACCTAAAATATACGTCGTGTCTCAGGTATAGTGCGGTTGAAGAATTATAATCGTAGATTCTATTGTATGCTTAGTAAACAGCTAATATTAGTTGAAATACAAAAGTCTGGTGAAGAGTTGCGTTGCGTGCCTTTACAAAAATTTGTTTAGGGCCCTTATGAAGGGTAAAAATTTTATCACAAAAGTAAAACAAACTATGCATAAAATACTACTAATTGTGTGTCAAAATCGGAAATCTTTCCAGGCAACTCCCTCTGCCAAAATTATCGCCGGACTATAATTACCTACGTTTTTCTAAACTTTCTGCCAACCTTTGACTTTTGTGAAAACTGAAATAAAATAAAAATTGGTAAGTCCGGGGTCCGGCCCTCGTGGTCCCGGGCCCCGTATAATTGATACGCGTGGTGAATGGCGCTATTTACGCCCTTGCTAGTGAAAAGAACCAACATCTATAGATATTATAGCAATACAATTATTCCGACTCGCCTTGTAATTCCCGAAAAGCAGAGTCTTAGCTTAGGTCAGTCAGGGGTTCCCAAACTTTTCTTTGTCAAATGTTCGTTTTCTTTAGTGAGATGTGATACAGAACATTTGTTTCTATCATTTGCAACAATATTTCCGACGAATGAATAATACACAGACGATATGGTTTAACAAGAGATCTTCGCTGATTACCAACACGTTTAGCAACATCATGATATCATATCGCGTGTAAAGTGTTACCTAGTGCATATGAGCTTCTTAGGTGCGCTTTGGGTACACTAGAATACATTTCAGTAAGTCCAAATAAAATGTTCGAAACGCCACTGCGTATTATTCAAGGACACTTCCTTGAATAATATTTTTAATGTGGAATTTTAGAAATAATGTAGGGAGTGATATACCATTTTAGAATTCTTATTAAATGTGCCAACTATGGTGAATTTTTTTCAGTACAGTCATTTAAAGTAAGGTGAAAGGTTATTGCAAATACTTGGTTCGTCAATACATATATTCATTTCCGAACTAAAACAGTTAGCCCAGAATTTATGATTCCATAATACTGAAGCACTATTCAGGATAACGGAAGCAAAAATCCTGACAAAAACTAAATAATTGTAGCAATAACGGTTAAAAGACTGGCACAGGGCGTACTTTTTCGTGGATAACACATAAGTCATTGTGATTTAAAAACTATATGACTTGGAATTTTTTCTTTAGTTTTCTAATAACTGTTGAAACCTTGCCGATCACCTTGTATCAGGAACACTCCATATAAAATGGAAAAAATCACATTGATACCTGCTAGATTTAGATTCTGTATGCTTGAGAAGCGGGCCTCCGCGGATCTCTGCACCACCACGACAATGTGAAATCAAAATATTAAAACAAAAATACTTGCCTACAAAAACATGTTCCCTCATATATTTGCTGTCGTAATGGCATGCTAGCACTAAGAATCTGTCAGCATTAGGATTTAATTTGGCTATAATGTTTTTGAAATTCAATGAGCCAAACACAGGTGTGGTATCTGAGAAAACATTCTCCGTGACCTCCCAACCTAAGTCCCGCATCTGTTGGGATATGTAGTTGCTGACCTTATCATGATTAGGAGTACCCACAACTCTTGGAATCAGGATCTCATTTAAAACTGATTTGAAATGATTCATGTCAGACATTGCCGCTATATCCCTCACATTTTGATCTGACAACTCTTGAGCTTCGTGGAAATTCTGGAAATAAAATAATAAATAACTTAACTTCACGCCTTTTTAACCCCACAGGGATATGCTGACGTGCACATTACGGCATTTAATGCCACTGTATTTTATTTATTTATTTATTTATTATAACACCTTACAATATGACATCTTACAGTTTATTCCAATGCAATATCACATTTCCTGACACATTTAAGTCTAACATGTAACTTAATTAATAAAAAATTCACCTTGATTATTAGACTTATAAGAGTTACATACTCTCAGTATGACATACATATTATAACCATACAGAACCAATTACTCAATTACTGTAATATTACACTATACAATGTAGCATCCACTTTTCGCTATTTATGCTATAAGTCCCAAGTAATAGGGGGTAAGGCTATTGCCATATACGGGGCACAATTCTAGACGTTGTGCTACTATTGAGATTTAAATCCCAGTACTATTTTGCCCGACCCGGGAATCGAATCCGAGATCCCTTGATTGGCAGACGTACTTGTGACCACTTGGTCAATGAGAAAGAAATAAAACATACAATCACTACAGATATAGATAATACTTTTATTTATTCTATTTATGAATACTATCAACCCTATCAACAAGGGTAAGAAAAAACCAAGTTAAGTAGTCTTAATACCTGTAATGAGGTTTTCTTACTTTATTATGGAAGGGGTAAAAAAGCATTACATTATTAACACAATGAAAATAAAGTTACGTCCTACATATATAAAGCACGTTGCCTTTGAACATATTGAAAAGCCTGTTTAAAAGTTGGACAATACTTGAAGACATTGCACGGGTACCTATGAATCATAAAAGGTTAGGTACTTAAAAATAATATTTTAGCAACACAAACCTACTGACCTTTTCCTCGTAAAATTTTAACTTCTTTTTTGTGTTTACAGATGCAAAACAAAGTACTGTGATCACGAAACACAGCACTGATTTAGACATGTTTTATCACTTTTATAAGATATAAGCCAATTTAATTCTTATATTTAAAACATATGTGCTGATACACTTTAATACTAATACGTGCGCACGGTCGTTTCACACACTATCACTGATAAAACTAGATTTTACGAAACTTGTTGCGAGTTTCGTCAACCTTTCACCTCACTCAATCCAACAACTGATTTTGACAGTTCGTTACAGGGTTACAGTAACAAAAAAATAATTTCTCCTTTTTTTCTTTTGCGCCTCTAATAGGAAACAAAATTAACGCACACACTTTTAAGTTACTTTATATTACTGGGTTTTAAAACTTTAAACAAAAATGAAAACATTTGAATAAATATATTGCTAGCTGTTCACTGTTCGTAAAATTATTTCCTACATTTTATAAAGACTTTTTATTATAGAATCCCCAAATGACAATGAGTACGTAAATATTCAACTTGTACAGTTAGTGAAGGTAGGTAAAGAAATAATTGAGTGAAGTGGAGCCGAGGGAAGCGAAGATGAGTTGAACAGGGCTATAAATGCATTTTGTTTTCCAGCACAGTTTCATTAAGCTCACAGCTGCGCTGTGGCCCGCTTATCTCCGACAACCATTTATAATGTAAATCTTCACAACTCCGCTAACATTGTTTCCACTGAATCAGAGCGGAGATAAGTATGTGTATTTTAAGCAATATGAATGGTCAATTCTTATAAGTCGTGAGCTTCTGTGGAAACACAGCCTTAAGTCCTTTTCCTGCATTACGTATCTCTATCAAAAAAAAAAAAAAAAAATAATTATCCAATTAGATACATGTTTGTAAATTGTCCTTGCGGGTGTACAATATGTCAAACATATACAAGTGAAAATAATAATGGCTAGGTACCTACCTAACCTAGTAAAGAAAGTACAATTATATGCAAAAACGCACAAAGTACAAACCTGGCGTAGGTACACACACATCAAGCTTTACATAACCAGTATAAGCTGAACGTTAAATGTGCGGAAAGATGATGCGACGCGACACCAGGATAAACTGGTTTTGTATAGATTGATGTGTGGCCGTGTGTACATAAAATAATATTACTTCATTTATAACAAATTATAGGTATCTTATAAAAGTTAAACGTCGTGGTGGCCCGGAGGTTTAAGACGCCCGTTTCTCATGCATGAGGGTGCGGGTTCGAAACTTACCAACGGCAAGTACCAATGTGACTTTTTCCGAGATATATGTACTTTCTAAGATTATCAAGACAACACTGACAAACGGTGAAGAAAAACATCGTGAGGAAACCTGGGCTTATAATTTCTAATTATAAGTTTGTAATCGCCAACCCGCATTAAGCAAGCGTGGTGATCAATGCACAAACCTTCTCGCTGTGAGCAAAGGCTCAGCAGTGGACACTTATAGGTTGTTGATGATGATTTAATGATTTAACTAGTATTGAAAATAAAATAAGTACCTACCTAGATCTCGAGGCGAGCCTGAAAGACCCTACTTACTCTATGTTTTCTAGGTACTTTTAATCTTTGACGTCAGTTAGTGACGTCACTCAGAAAGCAGCTAAACTCATCTTAGAATGCAATGACGTCAGTAGCAATTCAATCAAAGGGAAATGTGATTTTTCTACTATAATAAAACAGTGGTGATGTAATAGGCCATGCTGTTAGCATTATACGAACCGTTATTAAAGCATAATCTCATATTATAGGACCATTTCGCACCTAATGTATGAGAATACTTCGTGTTTTTATTTTTTAAATTACCTGGTACGCGGTAACGCCCGATATTGTATATTTTTCTTTACTGAATCTTTGTATACCTACTTATCTATAGGAAAAACTCTTCCGTGAAGACGTTGGACCTAATGCCACCACAGTATTGTTTATATTTAAGTTTACATTTAATGTACTAGGTGTGCCTGTAATAATAAAATAAAAATGTTGTTTTGTAGTTAAGTAGTACCGTCGTCGTCGTCACCCTTTGAGTACCGTCATTATAGACACAATTAAAGAACAATAGGTTCCGGTCACCGGTGTCCTCGCGGTGTTTGACAGTTTCTCTTTGAGTATCGTCAGTAAAGACACAATTAACTCGTCGAGTACCGGTTTTGTAGACACAATTATAGAACAATAGGTTGCGGTCACCGGTGACCGCTTGGTGTTTGACAGTTTAAAGAACAATAGGTTCCGGTCACCGGTGTCCGCATGGTGTTTGACAGTTCAAGTTAGTTTTCACTAAAATTGAAATGACTAATCAAAATAATTAGGTAATTGTTTCTAATTGCAGTACTTAAGTGTATTGCATTATAGGATTATCATTATAGGATAATATTTGATTAATTTCAATAGGTAAAATTATAAGTAAGAACGTGTAGTCGTTTTTATTTTCAATCTAGAGAGGGTCAGAGGCGCAACACAAATTAAATATGAAATGGAATGGAGAAGTAATGTTACCCTCTATGGGTGGTAAATGGTAGGTAGGTAGGTACTGGTACCTAATGGGCCCTTATACTCAGTGGTATTTCTGCTAACTTAGTGTAATTAGGTTCACACACACACGAGTAAACTTTAGACACTATGACCGAAAGTGTTTCTATTTTGTTTTATGAACCGATACCTTTTATTACTTTACATAAGTGTGGGAGAGCCATGCTTCGGCACGAATGGGCCGGCTCGACCGGAGTGATACCACGGCCTCATATAAAACCGACGTGAAACAACGCTTGCGTTGTGTTTCGTCGTGTGAGTGAGGTTACCGGAGGCCCAATTACCCTCCCCTTCCCCAATCTCCCCAATCCCTGAATCCCCAACGATCCTTAAACTCCTAATCCCTAAAAAGCCGGTAACGCACTTGTAACGCCTCTGGTGTTCCAGGTGTCCATGGGCGACGCCGATTGCTTACCATCAGGTGATCCGTCAGCTCGTTTACAGGCTTATGCCATGAAAAAAAACATAACATCACGCCTTTTATCCCTGAATTCAGATTCAGATTCAGATTCGGATACATACCTAATGGAAATCGCGCTGGACATTTCAACGATAATTAACATGTAGGTACCTACGTTGTTACATACCTATCTATGTTAGATAGGTAATACGGATAATACTTCGATACTACACGCTCTGAAACCTAGACCTCAATATATCAAATATTTTTCTAAGTACTAACATTCTATAGCAATACATAATTGTTTCACTCGTTTAAATTCAAAGACGGGAAGCGCCTGATGAAGTATCCATTATTTATAATATCTTATTGATCGGTGAGAATACGTAGCGATTCAAAGGGCGGATGTGAGTCTCGCGGTGGGATGGACCCTAAACATAAATATTACCAGAGTTTATAATTCTGCTTGCAGTGTGACTGAGGCTGAGTTCGTGACTATACAATTCTTTGTTCGATGTATTGTTAGCGATAATTACCAGTGAATAGACTGAAACAATAGGAATTTTTATACTACTACTATTGTTGGCTCCCGATCGATATAATATTTGCGCTCTCTCAGTCTATTACGAGTGACTAACAATTTGAATGCGTGTAGATATTCTCCAATCTTCGCAAACAATACCAGGGACAGTGCCAAGGAGAATTTTAAACGGAAAATCCCAATAACCTTTTGATTACAACCAAACTAAAGTCTGAAACCAGTATCAAACTACCGCAACCACTGAGAGTCACTCAAATATTTTAACTGTAACATTTGAAAATACAGCGTAGTTTCATTCCTTTTAGTCCCTGAACCTAGATCTAGTTACTGAGTCCAGCGGTAGCTGGTTTAGGTAGGTAGGTAGAGACGTATTTCTTAATAAATTTTATTCACACACTTACAACTTAATAAGTACAATATTTCATGAACTACAACAATAGTTAAATATTACACTGTAAATAGCACTTTGTTTTGTTGTTATTAACTCGGTAACTTCGTATTAATGTCAATTGTCATACCAGCCTATCATCAGCCCTGTGCAATGAAAACGAAGTTTCCAGAACGAAAGTGAAACTGTAGCCATCCACTTGATTAGTAGTTTTTCTGTTTCAAAATTCTAGCACAACCTTTAAACTAAAAATTTGAGTGGAACTTGTATACTGCAAGGTAACTAAAGGTAAAGTTTACTCCAGAAGGGCTGACAGACATTTTTAATTGGCTATTATGTCGAAAGAACAAATGTTCACGTGCGGCTTCGTAAATACAGCCGCCTACTACAACGCTCCATCATCAGTGTTCCTGCCTTTTACTTCGTATTGCTTAGTCCGTCCTTATGCCAATTTTAATGATACCTATTAATAACATGATTTTTCAATTGCTTGCGGAGTTTATTGTCATATCCGACACTGCGCCTGAGTCGATATTGAGTCACATGTAACTGCGTGTCTCCTGCAATCCTTATACGCATGGACTTCCGCGGATAAATGCGACTAGAAAACACAACCTCACCCGTACCACAGAAAACCTCAATGGAACTATAGTCGACAAAAATACGCCAGTGTATATGTGTGACGGGTAACCAGTCCGCTCGCCTGACGCCGTCCACTCCGCCGCGGTCCACGCTCACGTAGCCTCGCTCTGATGAGAAGGCAATGGTGTACTGCCGCTCCCCGCTCCACTCTAGTATGATTGCAGCGTCGTACATCACTGTACTAGAGTTCACAAGCATTTCGAAAGCTCTTGATCCCGCGTAGAATGCCTCCCCTGGACTGTACCAAGCGTCCTCTAGCACCTCGGCACGCAACTCGACTATTTCTCTAACCGGCGTCATCAGAAGTTTGCCTTGAAATGTCAGTTTTAGTTCTCTCACTAAGGTCAGCATGCTAGCCCAGCCGTCATTCGATTCTTCGAACTCACTTTCCCACATGCCCAACCAGGCGACGAGCAGTCGGCGTCCATCTACAGACTGCATCGTCTTGGCCGCATAAAAGTCGTGTCCGTAGTCAAGTTCATTAAATGTCGCTGTAGATATTTCAAGGTCTTCAAACTGCCCGGTTTGGTAGTTGAAATTTCCAATGACGTATCCCGTCTGATAAAGGTTCCGAAAACGATGGCCGTCGCCTTGAATACCTTGCACTGATAGTATAAGAACAGTGAATCCATCAATTTCAAAAAAGTCTGGGCTCTCCCACATGTACCCCATATCTCCATACGATTTTGCTATGGTGCCGTTGAGCTTCCAGTTAAACAAATCAGCCGACGTGTACAATAATAAGTATGCTTCTTGTAATCTTGAAGTTCCAATCAGCATGAACCATGAGTTTCTAAACCTCCACACTTTAGGATTTCGAAAGTCTGCGTTGCCAAAGGGGCCGTCTCGTATTATGGGGTTGTATAAATACTTCTGAAAGATAATACCGTCAGCACTAATTGCGACATTTTGCGTTTGAAAAGTCTTGTTATTGGATAGCACGTGGCCCGTGTAGAACAGTGTTAAATAGCTGTTGTGAATCACCGCCGACCCGGAGAGACAGCCGTGCTTGTCGTAGTGGTCCTTGGGCACCAGCGCAGGTGGGTAAAACGCCCAGTCGACGAGGTTATCACTGATCACATGGCCCCAATGGATTGGACCCCACGCGCCGTTGTACGGGTGGTACTGGTAGAATATGTGGTACTGTCGCTTGAAGAATATAAATCCGTTTGGATCGTTGAGCCAGCCCACGGGCGCCGAGATGTGGTACATAGGCCGGTACTTCTTCTTCAGAAGATATCTTTTCTGCTGGATAAAGTCCTCGATGTGCGCTAAGTCCTGTGCGAGCTCGGCAGTGACGACGCAAAGCCACACTGCCAGTACAAACACTTCCATCTCAGAAGGCAGCGGCTCAGATACTAAAGACTAAATAAAACTATCCGGCCGTGATGACTCAAAGACGAAAGTCACAATAGTATAATGTTTGTAAACTAATAGTTCAATAATGCTGGGATTACACAACCGCTTATTCTAGTAAGGGACAAATTGTAAACAATTACGTTATTTCAATTTAGATCACCTTTATTAAATGCTACATAATAAACTACCTAGGTACCTACTTATTTTACTACAAGTTATAATAAGTAGTGGTAGGTATTTGTTTTCTTTGATGAATTAGTCTCATCAGTTTCAGGACTTGCCCCGTCGCATTGAAATGAAAATAAAATATTGTTTCAAGGAGATTGTAAAATATAACAAATTTTACGGGTTGGGTTGCATCAACAACAGCTCGTTTGAAATCCAACCCATATCATTATTGCCGTAAGACGACACCCGCAACACCAGAGGAGAGGGGTAACAACTGCGTTGTCGGTTTTTTGGGGATTGAGGCAAGAGAAAGGGGGAATGGGCGTTCTGTAACGTTACCCACACGGAAACACAACGCAAGCGTGAGTTCACGGTTTTTTTTGTGATATTGTAGTTTTAGTCGAGCCAGCGAGTCTGAGAAACACCACTTTTTGGCAATTAGGTACGTTACGAGCGCCTTTTTTTTTTTTAAGGGGGGAAAATCATCGAATGACTCCTCCGGCCTGGGTGAGGCGGGAGGAAGTGTCAGACTCTTACTGACTAAAAACCACCCCGTTCCTTCTCCTGCACGTCGAGCCGGAGCCCCGGTTACCCGTTAGGTTCTCCGACATATGTGCCAACTAATTGCCGGCCTACTGAAAATTTCGATATAGGTATTAATCTAAGCACTTAATTATAATAAACCTACCTACTTGTTGTGGGGATCGAACGAACATCTCAATCACAGGAGCATAGCTTGCGATCTCACCATGAAAACCGATCGTACTGGAATTTTAAACATGTCATTATAAAATTATTGTTTCTATTGTTTCCTGGTTTACCTCTCACTCATTTTTCCCAGATTGTTGTCATTTCTGATCTCATGCTGTATTACTTAAATATTGATATCCATAGGAATGTTCAGTAGGCTCGATTGTTTAATACGACTATTGAAGATTATTGATGTTATTATTATCTACCTACAACAAACTACTCAATTCCCATACCTACACAGTCTACAAAAGGCATTTGACGACTGTAAAAACAACCTAGACAACCACAATGTCGCGGAGAACCTAGCGGGTTACCGGGGCTCCGGCTCGATGTGCAGGAGAAAGAACGGAGTGGTTTTTAGTCAGTAAGAGTCTGACACTCCCTCCCGCCTCACCCAGGCGGGAGCAGTCATTCGATGATTTTCCCCTTTAAAAAAAAAGACAAACACAATAATATCTTCGAAACAAAGCAGGAGTAGGAACGGGGTGGTTTTAGTCAGTAAGAGTCTGACACTCCCCCTCGCCTAACCCAAGGCGGGATAAGTCATTGGATGATGTACCCCCTCAAAAAAAAAATCCTCATGAGGGTGACATTGTGATTTTAGATAAAACCCTTCATCCATCATTAAAATAAAGAAAATAGGTTCTGGTTAGTAAGCTAGCAAAAGAATTTTTGGTGACCTATCTGGGATCTTAAGTCCCCTGAGGAGTGTAGGAATTACCTGGCAAAACAATTCTTCTCCTAAAAAAGAAACATATTCATTCATTCAGCAGTGGGTGGTGTTATCATCAGCATGAGGTTCATTATTGCTATTAATACAACTTTATTCCCAGACTTCGTTTTGTTCTATCAGAATTCCAAAACCAAAATACTCAATATTACTCGAGCTCTTTTTTAATGTTTATTTTATACTAGCGACCCGCCCCGGCTTCGCACAAGTGCAATATGCATGTGTTATAGGTACTTACATATAAACCTTACTTAAACTGTCAAACACCAAGCGGTCACCGGTGACCGCAACCTATTGTTCTATAATTGTGTCTACAAAACCGGTACTCGACGAGTTAAACTGTCGCGTGACTTGCGCGATCGAATTTTCAGAAAACTAAACTTTAATCGCAACTCACCGCGATGCGATATCCGAAATGACTTTGCAAATTAACTTTCATCCCGATACGGAGTCGCGGAAGGCCCAACGGGTTGTCGGGGCTCCGGCTCGAAGAGCAGGAGTAGGAACGGTGTAGTTTTTAGTCAGTAACAGTCTGACACTCCCTCTTATTTAACCCAAGGCGGGAGAAATTATTGGATGATGTTCACCACAAAGAAAAAAAAAACGAATACCGATACTTTCATTCGTTATACAATTGCGAAAAAATAAATATATCTCGGTAAATATTGCTGTGTGGTTCTTTCCTACTTTTATTGTACGATTTGAAGACGTCAAAAGTGATAAATCATTAACAATTTACAGTCCTATGGATTACTGTTTAACCAATAGGAAGGTAGATATAGGATAAGGCAAATACCAAACAATAGATTCGGTGTATAGAAGATATATTTGTCAAACAATAACGATACAATAACATAAAAGAAACAAAAGTAATACCTATAGTTATTATCATATTATCTAATGGTTTATTTACCTATACATAATTGTGTTGTTTCACTTAAATGAGATTGCTAAACATCGACGTCAATAAACGTTTTATTAAAATATTTTATATACAATACCTTCAAAATATTTTTATCGAAACATGAACAATGATGATCATAACACGATCAGCACCCCGCGACAATCCCAAGAACTATGCGTTACATCTACATATTTAAGTAGAAATGTACACGCTTGTCTGGTGGGTTGGAGATCGCATTAAGATAATGGGACCTATCGTATTTTAGCGGACTGGGTGCCGCTAGTGTCAACTCGTTACATATCGTTATATCGTATCGTATCGTTATCGACTCTGTGATGCTGGACAAAAAATCATTTTTCTACATTTACGCCATCCGGTGAAAAAAATACGTCAGCCCCCATTGGTGGAAATATGAGTATCACATTAATTATTAGCTTTAGAAAGTTCAGGTTCTAAAGACGTCTTTGAACAACTGTAGGACTGTTAACAGGTGATATCAATGTATTGAGCAAATTCGAGTTCCGTAGATTAGATTCAGGAATGTATTCGAGACTGAAACTTAAAACTAATGGTTTAGCTTATTGCTACATAATATCTGATTGTAGCCATAGTCATCCCACATCGTATTCTTTGCAAGTTGAAAACTGCCAGTAGGTATCTGCAGTTTATGATGGTTGTAAGTACCATCAGGTGTAATTAGCATGTCACGACTTAGCTGTAGAAGGAGACTAGCGGCTAGAGCGCGAGTGTGCGTGCGAGGTCGGTCCAGAGCTGAGCTCGCGCGGCGTGCGCGGCGGCGCGGCGGCCCGCCAGCCCGCCCAGCGAGCCCCGCGCCGCGCACACGTACGCGCGCGCCACGCGGCCCTCCTGCAACACAGCGACGTCTCAACAACTCACTGTTAGGTTCTTATTTATCTTTCCGAGGCACGTCGAGTCCTGAAAATATATGATTTCTACCGTTAAGCAATAACAGTGACCTGCAGAGCAGCGCGCAAAGCGTAACGGTGTCGCAGATGCAGCGCGCGCGGCGCGGCCGGTGCGGCGGCGGCGGCCGCGCGCTCCCCGTGCAGGCCGCGCGACA